TTGTACTCTGCCTGACCCAGATCAGTAACTGGCTGTCCAGCAACTTTCTTGTTCTAAATGCCAACAAGACAGAGACCCTGATCTCTGCACCCCCGGAACTTCAACCAAAAATCGAGCAGGAAATTGCCTCCTTTTGCCCATCAGCCAAGGCCAACATTAGAAACCTGGGAGTTATTTTTGATCCGGTTTTAAGGTTAGACTCACACGTCAAAACCATCTCCCGCTCTTGTTTCTTCCAACTGAGAAACATTTCAAAAGTCCGTAAACTGGTTTCTACTGCAGATCTGGAAAAAATCATCCATGCCTTTGTGTCATCACGCTTAGACTACTGCAACGCTCTTTTTACTGGTCTCAGCAAAACCTCCCTGTCACGCCTTCAGGTCATCCAAAATGCAGCAGCCAGACTCCTAACCAAATCCAGCAGATGAGCTCACATCACTCCAGGTTTACAGTCCCTCCACTGGCTCTCGGTAGAATATAGAATACAGTTTAAAGTTTTAGTGCTGACCTATAGAGCTCTTAACAACCAGGCTCCAAGCTACCTATCTGAGCTTTTATCCCCACACACCACTTCACGGAACCTCCGATCCACATCTGAAAACCTCCTGGCTGTTCCTCGAACCAGACTAAAAACCAAAGGGGACAGGGCCTTTCAGTCTATTGCCCCTAGACTTTGGAACAGTCTGCCTTCAAATCTCTGTCTCTTGAAATCTGTAGAGGTCTTCAAAAAACATCTTAAAACTCACCTTTTCATCCATGCTTTTCCCCGCTAAATATTCTAAAAGATGGCTTTGTTCTTGTTCACACCTTGACTTTGTTTTTACTCCTGATTTTGGTTACTATTGTCACTGCTATTGTTTTTATGATGTTTTTATTGGTTAGAGGTATTTGCCCTGATTTTACTCATGTTGTACAGCGCTTTGTGATTTATATCTGTGAAAGGCGCTCTACAAATAAACTTTACTTACTTACTTACTTACTTACTTACTTACTTCATTGTCTCTGCCCTGTTCGAGCTTTAGGGGCTTATATGGACAGGACTGCTGGTCTCAGAAAATCAGACCAGTTGTTTGTTTCTTGGGCCATGGCCCATAAAGGCAAACCTGTGTCTTGCGAGAGACTGGCACACTGGATTGTAGAAGCGATCAGCCTTTCATATAGGTGTAAGGGTGCTGAACCCCCTCTGGGGGGTGAGGGCTCATTCTACAAGGAGCATGGCTACATCTTGGGCCCTGTTTCGTGGGGTGTCAGTCCAGGATATTTGTGCAGTAGCTAGCTGGGCCACGCCGCTGACTTTTGTGCGGTTTTACAGGCTGGATGTGTCTCAACCTTCACTGGCGTATTCAGTGCTGGAGGCAGGATGCACAACATCTGCTTAGTGGTTAAGCAGAGTTTTTGCTGCAGCTCGCTTCGGGATGGATATGCAATCCAGGAGTGGGCCATATCTCCCATAGTGAAACACCGAACGAATTTAGAAAAAGAACATAGGGTTACGTTATGTAAACCCCGGTTCTTTGATAACAGTGAGGTGTTTCACCAACAATTCCCTTCTTGCATTAACGGTAAGAAATCATCCGAATGAGTAAGAGGGGTTGGTTGGCCATGTATATACTGGGTGAGCGGAGCCTGGGCACTGCGCAACCAGTCTGTCAGGGACAGACGTGATGTCATTGGATCTTCCGTAGTTGGTCACGCCAGGGCGATTCCCATAGTGAAACACCTCACTCTGTTATCAAAGAACCGGGGTTTATATAATGTAACCCTACGTTTCCTTCTTTTTTACTACAGTACAGCACTTTGGACAGCTGTCATGCTGTTTTTAAATGTGCTTTACAAATAAACATGGTATGGTATGGTATGCCTGCTGGTGGTCGTTGGAGGTACCGGTAGCGCATATGTATGGCAGACTCGCTTCTGTCAGTGTGCCCCTGGGCAGCTGTGGCTACAATGTAGCTCATCACCACCAGGGTGTGAATGTGTGTGAGAATGATTGATTGTGTTGTAAAGCATCTTGTGGGGTTCCAGGACTCTAGAAGACACAATATCATATACAGGCCATTTACCATTCAATTTCGGTCCCATCCCCCTCCATTCTCAAGGATTGTGGAAATGAGACTGACTTCATCGGACCACTTCTTCACCCTCCAGTCAGAATTGAAGGAGCTCCTGTCAAAGGAAGCCATCTCGAGGGGTCCAAAAGATGAGGTGAATTTGGGGTTCTATTCCCGCAATTTCCTTGTTACAAAAAAAGGCCAGAAGTGTCAGACTCATCCACGATCTGTTCCTGTTCAACTTTACCGCTTCATAGCGGAAAAGCGCTTCCGCATGATCACCATGAGACAGTTTTAGAGTTACGTTCGTCCAGGCAACTGGTTAACTTCTATCGACCTGAGGGACACATATTTCCATATTCCAGTGGTCCCGAAACACAGGAAATTCCTGTGTTTGTCCTTCAACAGAGTCCAATATCAGTACAACAGACTCCTGTTCAGTTACTCCCTCTCTCCCTGCACCTTCTAGAGTTGTCTAGAGACATCGCTTCAGCCATTACGCACGGTGGGCTTGATGGTTCTTTTTATCTGGATTATCTGCTCCTTCTGGCTCCCTCAGAGTCCGACGTGGAATCACAGATGAGAACACTAACAGAACATCTAATCACGTTAGGATGTTCGGTTTCTCCATAAATTGGGAGAAAAGTTCTGTGATCCCATCACAGCTGATCACCATTTTGGGCATAAAGCTGAACTCCAGCATCACGAGAGCCTACCTCTCCCAGTCTCAACACACGTAATCAGCCACATGCAACCTCGCCACACTGTGACAGCTCTTACAGTGATGAAGCTGCTTGGCTTGATGGCTGCAGGCCATATAGCAGTTCCTCTTGGTTTGTAACATATGACACGCATCCAATGCTGGTTCAGATATCTCAAGATAAACCTGCTGCATCACAAACAACATATGCTGCCCATTCCTCTCAGTAAAACGAGATCTGGAGCACTGGGGGAACCCCGACATCTTGATGCTTGGAGTCTCTCTTGGTCGTGCAATGTCACATGTTTCTGTTTTCACGGATGCATTCCCGTTAGGATGGGGGCATACATGCTTGTCCCATTCAGTGGGCGGCCAGGGCATCACAGCCTTATCCGGGCTCTTACAGGTTTTAAGAAGTAAAAAACCCATACATGAATACAAATTGTAAGAATTTAAAAGCATGGCAAAAGCTCATAGGCTAGGTGCTAACTGCTACCCATAACACAGACATTTCACAAGCAAGAAAATACCTGCGATATTATGATACAGCACATCTTGAATGCATGAGCTCTGGGATGAAAAGTAGCTGAGGTCGCTTCTACATGCCAACATTTTTCCTTCCCAGTCTTTCTAATAGCGTTTGTGGGTCTGGGATTGTCACTCCATGAAATGTCAAAAGCTGGTATAATCAGCCTTAACTACGCCACTTATTTCGTCAAAACAATTAGTAGTTTCTGCACTGTAGCTGCATACGCTAGTGCACTTAGTTCTTTCACAGGCAGCCCTCTAAGGCGAATATGTTTTCAGTTCAACAACTTTCCACTGTTCAAATCATAAATTTTGCCGCTTTCCCTATCTATATGTATGTTTGCTTCTGTCAGTTTAGGGTCCAAAACACCAGAATGCATTGCGCACAACGCAGTACCGAAATGGCTTATTGGGGGGTCACAATCATCAAGCCACACACCTGGCAGGTAATGTTGGCAGTACAGCGCATTCAAATGTGTTATGCAACTGATCATTTGGGGCAGTGATACGCCTATGCTGCCGCCAGAAAACTTGTCCCCAGTTTCACACTGGAAGCATCAGTGGCACAAAACGACAGCGAAACGGTTTACTCGCAAACTTCAAAGCGGTCCTTTTCACACCGGGAGAGTCTAGGCAGCAGCACGTCTTCTTCGCTGTGCTCTTCACTGGACGTGTGGTGGCAAACAACTAATAGCACATGGCTTCCTGCATCATAACTGTCGGTGTATCTATGATAAATAAGTAGTTGTACCTGTATTGGTTGGAAAAATCTTTCCAAACTATTCTCCTTTATGCTTCCTGTGAAGGCAGAGCCATCTTCTTGTTCGGTGCAGTATTGCTGTAGCTTTGACAGATCATTTGCTGCTGTGGCCCCCAGACTCTGGAACTCTCTCCCCCTGAGCCTGAGATCAGCGGACTCAGTGGTCTCCTTCAAAAAGCAGCTGAAGACTCACTTGTTCAAGCTGGCTTTTGTATGACCTTTTTCACCACTCTCTCTTTATTCGGCTCTCCCCACCTATTCCACCTTCCTCAGGATCCACTGATTTCCCTCTTTCCTAGTCACTCTCTCTCTTTCTTAACATTTTTTCTTTTAAGTCGCAATTGCCTATTCTTGCTCATTTTAAATATATTTTAAAACATTTTCTAAGTGCTTTTTTATATTTTTACAATTTTTTATATTTTTTGTTTTTGTTTTTGTGAAGCGCCTCATGATTTTTATCTTGAGAGGCGCTATAGAAATGATATTTTCTTCTTGTTCTTCAACAGAGTGGGAAAAAATCTCACCACAGCGTAGTCTTTAGTCGCTGGAGCCTGCTAGTGTGGGGGTGTATATATAAAGCTAATGACGTTAACATGATAGGCGGTATTATTAGGAAAGGATGTGCGAACATCACCGCTGCTGCTGCGTTGAAATTCACTAGTCTGGAGCTGGTGAAAACACGTCATTTACTTAAAGTTATCGAGGATTTTGTGCCCAAATGCTTTTTCCTTCCCTTGATGAAATATCCACTATTGCAAGTCAACCTGTGGTTATCCTTTCTTGTAAAGGCGGCATTAAGAACATTGAGTGGCCAGTAAAATTTTGAATCTGGTGGATGAAAAAGTTAATTTCCTGCCCTAAGAGTAATGATGACCGGATAAGAGAATAATTCTATAGTTGTATACTTTTGCAGATTGCCCACAAGTTCAGCTTTCCAATATTTGTTCAACTATCTTTTTAGACCATTCACATGGAGGGACCTTTAGCAGAGGACATTGAAGGTATGTGTATGCAATGTTCTTAAATTGATGCTAAATTATCTGTTTTACCTGTTTTGTGTATTTTATTCTTACAAGTAATTATTTATGTCCAGATGTCTGTGTGCTAGGTGACAAGGGGTCAGACGATGAGGTCAGCATGTCATCCAGGCAAGAATGTACCTCCATATCAGAAAGTCAAAACCAAAGAGTGTCTGCAACAGGTGAGCTTCAATGCATTTCTTAGCTTTGGTGCATTTTCACACAGTGCATGACAAAAATTAGCATCAACAACCCCATCTCCCTCCTTTGTCCCAACCACCTCCTCCTCCTGCAACTCTGTCAGGAGACCTGTCTGATGCAGAGGCTGCACAATCAACACAGTCAAACACAACCCCAGTTTTAAAACTGAACATTGGGTTAGTACTGCCTTACATTACAAGCAGCTTTAACTTTTAGGTTAGCGTGCATCCACCTGCTGCTTATAGGTTGCTTCAATCTCTCTGCGTGGACTTCACGCAGGGATAGCATAGCTACAAAACACCTCTCTCATTATAGAACATCTGGTAGGTCCACGATAAAGTGACGCAGGACAATTCCCTGAGCACATTTATCTGCTGAATAATTGTGATTGCACAAGGGGGAGATTAAAAGATTAGTTTTATTTAGAACAATTTAAATCACGTTTACCTCATACATGGGTGAGAGAGACGGACAAAAATAGATTCAAAGAAGGATTTTATTACAAGAAAGGACTCACATATATTTATATGCACGTACAGTACATTAAGACACACGTGACAAACATTAATAATAGAAGGAAAAGAGGGTTTTACACTGTCAGAACAAGCAGCGGAGAGCCAACACGCCAGAAGCCTGTTCCAGGCCTCTCGACACCTCAGCTCTCGGTCAGTCCTCTGCACTCCAAATGGTTTTATTCCACCCACAGTCTTCCAAACAAAGACCCGTAAATCTCTGTCAGGAGGTTTGGCCAACCACCGCATGTCTAAGGCGGGGATTTCTCAAGTCACAGAGTTTTTGTTGAAAGCCAAAACCTGCTGGCTACTTAATTTATGACTGACAGCCAGGAATTCAGTTTCCAAAGCTACGAGTTACCACTCACTCTTGCAACCTCCAATGTAACCATCCTGTAAGACCAAGTGAAGAGGACAAAAAGGCCCTTTAACTGAAAACAACTGAGGATAAGAAAAAACCCTTTAATCCACAAGTTTGTTATTTTATTACTTAAAAAGAGGAGCATTTTAAAAATACCTATCATTATCCAAGTCTCCTTCATGGCAGCAAACGGACTCCACGGTTGTTGCTCCACGGCTGAGCAGTGACCGCATTTGCACTACAAAGGGTTGCCAACCCTCTCCTCACTGTCATCTTTGTCTGTAGCCGCTGCGCCCCTCCTCCTCATCACTGGCTTAAACGCATACTGTATGCCATCGGGTTAGATGACATGAACTAAACTCGCTCAGCTTCATCTTGACATTTTTCCTCTTCAACTATGTACTTGTTCTCCACTCGCTGTAACTGTGTACTCGTGCAGAATTGAGGAGAAAAAATGTCTTAATAGCCATGCAATCTCTCCATGAAGTCTGTGCCCTGAGATTGGAGCAACCTATAAACAGTAGGTAAGTGCACACTAACCTTAACTATAACGCTACTTGTAATGTCAGTAACAACGGTCGCTGTCTGGTGAAATCAGTTCATATTCCATGCTTTCGTTCTTTTTTAAACACAGAAACAGTTTTGTTTACCTGTTTTGTAGCTACAGTTTCACCGACGGACGAAAGCATGGAATTAGAACCACGACACAGTAAGAACACACCTAAGAAATCAGTTCATTTTATGTTGTCCAACATCCAATCTTTGAGGCGTACAGCTACTTCAGCACTAGTGGGCTGCGTAGGACAGTCTTTCGTCTGTACACTATATGAGGAAATGTATTGCTTGAGGACCACAATCCTGCAAGTCTTGGATGTTTCCCTGCTGCAACACACCTGATTCATTGTGCAGAGCTTGGCAACAAGCTGTTTGATCTATTTAACTTGAATCAGGCGTGTTGAAGCAGGGAAACATCTCAGACCTGTAGGATGTGGGTCCCTAAAGAGTGAAGTTGGCCATCCCTGGGCTAACATGACAATTAATATTTTTACTTCACTAGTCACTTGAAAATGATTTAGAATAGGAGACAGAATGAAATTCCGTCTCTCCCTTTAAGAGACACAAATTCCATATACTTATTTTATAAAATAACAACCACTATACTGACGGCTATTACATATTTTGTGTATTGTATACTTTAATAAAGTTATTTCTTGATCCAGATGTCAGTATGCCAGAAGAGGGGTCAGAACATGAGGTCAGCATGTCATCCCTGCAAGAATGTACCTCCACGCCACAAGTCCAAAACCAGACTGTCTCTGCAAAAAAGAGAGGTAAGGGCTTGCACTCTCTTGCACTCTGGGGCATAAGGACCCGTTTTACTGTGCCATGGTTTATCGTCCTCCTGGTCCAAACAGTTCTTTTCTTAAGGAGTTTAGTGTCTTTCTATCCTCCACCTTGAAGCTGTCCAGACTGGTTATTGTTGGTGATGTTAACATCCACGTAGGGCTGGGCAATATGGCCTAAAATCAATATCACGATATATTGAGGATTTGAACCTCAATAACGATAAATGGACGATAACTACAGGTATGTGCAGAAACAAAAGTTGTTCACTAGATGGGGCTGTCACATGTATTACGTTGAATCACATTTTTATGTGACTCAAGGTGGTACAGCTTCTTAAAGGGACATGAACATTGCCAACTTACACACCTTTTTTTTTTAATCAAATTTATTGACATGGGAAAAATTATCTCGATAAGAGGCAGAAATTTCGATAGTGATACATTTTCGATTTATTGCCCAGCCCTACATCTACGATGATGCCTCAGACCACTTTCTCATTACCTTGTCCAGCCTCCTGACTCCTTCAGCTTTACCCAGCATGTTGCTGGCCCCACACACACCAAGGGACACACTCTAGACCTTGTTTTTACTTTGGGTCTACATGCTGGTAGTGTTTGTCCTGAGGATGTTCATATTTCAGATCCCCATTGCGTTATCTTTAACTTGTCAGTTTCCCCACCTCCTGCTCACCTTCTGGTTAGTTCTCGTTTTCTTAATGAGAGCACAGCTAGCAAATTTTCTGCTGCTATTGATCCACCCTGTTCTTCTGATAACGACCCAGATTCCTTAACTTCTCAGTTTAACAAGCACTGCATTTCCATTCTGGACAACATCTGTCCTGTCAGAACCAGATCAGTTCCTGCAGTGAACCCTACTTCCTGGGGGCAGCAGTAGCTCAACAGGTTGAGCGGGTTGTCCAGTAATCGGAAGGTTGCAGGTTCGATCCCGGCTCCGGACAGAGAATGCTGCTGTTGTGTCCTTGGGCAAGACACTTAACCCACCTTGCCTGCTGGTGGAGGTCAGAGGGACCGGTGGCGCCTGTGCTCGGCAGCCTCGCCTCTGTCAGTGCGCCCCAGGGCAGCTGTGGCTACATCATAGCTCATCACCATCAGTGTGTGAATGTGTGTGTGAATGGATGAATGATACACTGTAGTGTAAAGCGCATTGGAGTCCTTACTCTGAGAGGTGCTATACAAGCGCGGGTCATTTATCATTATCATTTAATGACAGCCTTTGCAGCCTAAAGCACCAATGCAGAAAAATTGAGCGTGTTAAAGTGGAGAATGCTCCCTTTACGTGAAATAAGGAATGTTATTTTAACAACCTTTGGAAATGATTAATATTGATTGAATATTAATTCGGACAACGCTTATTTTTCTCAGAAGACCTAAAGAACTTTTTATTCTCAGGTATTTAGACTCGCTTGAATAAAGATCAACCTTCAACAATTTTAAAAGAATTTAATCTATAAATCACAATTTAAAATCTCACACAGTTAACAATTCCCTGATGTTTAATGAGCTAAAATGTGCATGAGAGCAGAGCTTAGCTGAGGGCTTAGTTCATCTGTCTGAAACAGAAATGATGTTTTGGGTTAGTCTACTGTGTCGCTTTGGAACAAGAAGTGATCATGAGTGCCCTAAATCACCTGGGGGGTGTCTTGGACGGACCCCGGTCGATGGAGGAACACGGTCGCTCCCAGCTGGTCTCCCAATCCGTGAGGCTTTGAGGTTAAAGTCCACTGGTCAAAATCAGTCTCTGATTGGCTCAAGTTTAAGCAAACCGTTCCACGGTTGATGGTGGAACTCAGTTGGTGTTTTCAGCTTTTTTGCAAGTGTCCAGAACCTGGCAGCGTGCCAAAGTTCTGATGTTGTCGAAGAGGAATTCACGGGCCCTGTGAAGTCTCAACGAACTGACTCTCAGCTCGCTTGTCAGTAGTTTTGTAGAACGACCCCTCTTCCCGGGGCATTCCCAGATCGTGACGTCTTTTCCCTTGAGAAGCTCTGCTCTTGCCTGCTGTGTGTTTAACAATATGTGGTGTATTATTCGTTATCACATCATCTCCATTAAACATCATTTACAAGTTTGATCACAAATTGATTCAGCAGTTGATCATATTAATTAATTCATCAACAGATCTCATTCTTTATTAAAATCATAAGATGAACAGTTCAGCTGTCCTCCTTCCCCACACTGCGTCCTTGACGACTGGTTATCAGAACCCAGCCTCTGCCGTCCTTGCAGAAGGAGAGTGTGTCTCAGCAGCCATCTCGGCTCCAGGTAAAAGCAGAGGCACATGTCGGGTCAGTTTGACCCGTCACAGAGGTTGATGGTCAGTAGCTTGTTGTTGTTACAAGCGCTTGTGGAAGAAAACCCGTCTCCATGTCCATCTGCTGCATCTAAAGAATCTTCTGACTTCCTTTAACTCTGCAGTCAGAGATGCAAAGGTTGACTATTTCTCCAACCTGGTGTCCCAGAGCAAAGAGAACCCCAAGGTGCTGTTTAACACCATCAGAAGCATCTTCTCCCCTGCCTCTCCTACAGCCTCCATTCACTCTGTTGTAGACTGTGAGAACTTTCTGTCTTTCTTTGTGGACAAAGTCAATAAGGTCAAATCTAGCATCTCTCCCTCAGCCTTATCTCTGCCTCTCCTGACTCCAACCAGGCCCATCATCCTACATAGCTTTGCTCCTGTTTCTTTGCCTGAGTTAACCAAACTAGCCAACTCTATGAAGACCTCTGCATGCCCCCTCTACATCTTACCCTCATCTTTGTTTAAAAGTGCTTCTCAGTCCATCGATCCCAGCGTGCTCTCCACAATTAATGCTTCTCTGGTTTATGGTCAGGTCCCTGCTTACTTTAAAAACGCTGTGGCCATGTCCAAGGTCCTCCACCACCTCCCTCACCCATGATGTCCCACAAGGTTCTGCACTGGGGCCTCTACTCATCTTCCTCTATCTGATTCCTCTTCAGCACATCCTGAGCTCTTTCAGAGGAATCTCCTACCATCTTTATGCAGATGACATCCCAGCTGTACATCTCCTTTAAGCCCCATGAGATGTCTAAGCTGCAGCTGTTACACACCTGCTTAGACTCTATCAAAACCTGGATGGCTGGGAGCTTTCTTCAGCTGAATGAAGATAAGACTGAGATCCTCATCTGTGCCCCAGACAAGCTGGTTCCCAAAGTCAGAGATCTTGGTCAGCTTGCTTCTCACACCAAACCCTCCGTCAGGAGTCTTAGTGTGACCTTTGACCCGGCTCTCACCCTGGATTCTCAAGTCCGTTCTCTTGTTCGCTCTTCCTTCTTTCATCTCAGGAACATTGCAAAGCTGAGTCCCATTTTGTCCTGCTCTGAACTTGAGACAGTTCTCCACACCTTCATCTTCTCACGCTTGGACTACTGCAACTCTTTTCACGTGTCTGAGCAGAACCTCCCTGAACCGTCTACAGGTGGTTCAGAATGCCTGTCAGCTCAGCTTCTAACCAGGACCTCCAAACACACCCACATCACCCCGCTTCTCCTCCAGTTTCAGTGGCTGTCAGTCAACTTCAGGGTTCATTTCAAGATCATGGTTCTGGTTTATAGGGCCTTACATGGACAAGCACCACCATACTTTGGTGCTCTTCTCAGACCCTACACCCCAGCAGGTCCCTGAGGTCCAGTGACCAAAGCCTACTGTTAGTCCAGCTCAAGGCAAAAGACCAAAGGTGACAGATCATCTGCTGCTGTAGCCCCCAGACTCTGGACCTCTCTTCAAGTACATGGAAATGGTACAAATGGAATTCTGTTACCTGATTTGTTTACATGCAGTAAGTTTTGTGCTGACCACCATCAGAGGGCCTTGGGGATTTATGAGACTGAATTTGTGGAATAATTTTGGACAATAACCAAAATTGTTGTAATTCTAAAACAGTGGGTCTTACAGTGTTAATCAAGATTAAAACTTCTTTATAATAGAAAACCTACATTGTTTTGTTTTTGTCCACACAGAAAAACAAACAGCTGTCAAGAGAAGCTGGACCCCAGAAGAGTGTGCTGCAGTGGACAAACATTTGAGGAGATTTATCGTGAGGAGTCAAGTTCCTGGTAAAGAAGAGTGTCAGCGCTGTATTACTGCTGCACCTGAAGCTCTCAGAAACAGAGACTGGAAAGCTGGTAAATATTATGTTAAAAATCGCATTACAGCCCTGAGAAGAAAAGTAGTATGAAAGCACCTAATTGAACGGAGGTAAAAGCAAAACATTGGATGTCAAAATGTTTTGTCCTTTGTTGTGTTTGTTGTTAATTTTTGTTGTTTTTGTAAGGGTTTGCTCAGGTTTTATGGCTGTTCCGTTGTGTACAAATAAAAACATTTCACAGGTTTTTTTTGTATATTTTTTACACCTGTAATAACAAGGCATTTTGAATGCAGTCCAATGAAACGCATAATTTCAATGCCAATGTAACAAAAAATGTTGGGTTTGCATAGAACTTCAAACTGATATTGTTAAAACATTCAGTGGAGATTAGATTAATGATTTAATAATTAAAAAAATCACAAGCATATGGCATAAAATGTAATTAAATTGGTCATTTCAATTTTGTTATTAAACTGTCTTTGAAGCTGAATGTCTTGTAATCTGTCATCGCAGATAGAAATGTTCACACATATACATAATCACTTATTACAAAAAAATATTTTAGTCCAACATGAGGAAACTGGGAGTAATAATAAAGACTGGTATCAGCAGCTGCAGATAGTGACCGTGGGCCCCATTAACATATAAAAACTTGATATGTACGTGTGTATGTGAATGGACCTCACAAGTATGCAATGCTAGAAACGGTCCCCACAAGTGGCCAAATACCTTTTTGGTCAAAACTTTAGAAATGTGTTAAATTGAAGTGATATTAATGATTTAGATTTTTTTTTACATCTAACCTTGTTTTTAAAAGCGATGTAGGACCACTGGAAAGGGTGGATCCCATAAAGCATAGAAAAACCGGTGGGCCTCATAAGGGGCAAAAACCAGAATGTGTGTGTGTGTGTGTGTGTACATCAGCTTCTGTATCAGAAACCTTTGGGACAGCTGACAGTTTCCGTGCTCCTCCAGGGCAGAGAATCTGGAATGTGTGTGAGGAGAACCAGCAGGATTTGTCTAATCACTTTTATTGTTTGGCTCTGTTGATCCTGATCCACCAGGCTCACAAGGCTGTCTGTTGTTCTTTGTACCCTCTTGAATAGATGAATTTGTCTGTTTACTTTCTGGTTAGAATTGAGGAGGAGGAGGCTCTAGGAGGAGTCGCACATAACTGATTTCTGTTTCTTAAATGATATTCCAGCATTTCAAATTGCTGACGGTTTCCATTCATCAGCCCACAGCTGCAAGATGGCACTGTAGAGTGCTCACAGCCAGATAGATGGTGTCATTCACAGATAAACAAAAACTAAAAAAAATTAGAACAAGAAGCAAATAGTATAGGGAGCGTAAGTCACACCCATCCGGACCATGGGTCCCTGGAAGAATGAAAAAATGAATGCAAGTCAACGGATCTAAAAACGCTATTTTTTATCCTGATTGTTGTGTGCCATGGATTTCACGTATGATGTCTATTAATATTAAGGACAATTTCTGAATCCTCTCAAGGCTTGCTGCGTAACGTCACTGTCGTAATATCAATTCTCTGTCACGCATAAGAGGCATGTTGACTGGCTGTTTTCCAACTCGTTTTCCTAACCCTTACCAAACAAACACATTCAAGAGCAAATAGCAGGTTCAATTGTTTTCTAATTCATATGAAATGTCCAAAAATACTATTAGAAATGCTTATTGTGGATTTGTGCATTTTAAAATACATAACAGCAAAGTTTTTCTATTAAAATTGTCCTTTCTCAGCAAAGCCTCCAAAAAGGTTATTTTGTCTAAATCTGAACCTCTGACGTAACCAAAGGGAGCTAGAAGCTTGGCGCTGCCTCAGCTCAGTGTGGAGAGTGGCTAGTTTTAGAGTAGAGAGGTCATGTTAGCCAGTCAGTGTGTGTTTACTAGTGTTGGATTGTGTTCATGTTGATAAACTATAGTCTGTGAAGGCTGTACCAGCTCCAGCCTGTCTGGACATCGAGTCCACAGGTTTCCAGATCAGAGAAACAATGCCTCTATCTCCGTGCCTGAGGGCGTTTTGTGCAGCTGAAAAGACGGACTTCCGTAGCCCACGTCGGTTGGTACCAGGACAGGGAGGTCCGCACTGGGCTCCGGAGACCCGTGACAGGGTTTAAAAAATTAAATGCGGATTTCTGGGGCTCAGATCACTGTCAGAACCAGGTCAGAACCGACCACAAGAAGAGACACGTGGCTCAGCGGGTCAGTCCAGCTGGTTTCAGGGTTGTAACCAGATCAGAACCGCCGCCCGAACCTCCAGGGCAGGATGTGTGGCTTTTAAAAATACCAACTCAGCTGGCTCACTGGTTTCTGGGTCAGATCCAGCTCACAGAAGCCCGCATGAGCTCCAGAACCAGATAACAAGCATCTCTCTCTCTCTCTCTCTCTCTCTCTCTCTCTCTCTCTCTCTCTCTCTCTCTCTCTCTCTCTCTCTCTCTCTCTCTCTCTCTCTCTCTCTAAGCGCTAAACTACGTTACGTGAACGTATATTAACGAGTATGAGAACGCTGACAGACACTCATTAGTATTAATATTATATTAACCGACCGATACTATTTTAATTGTCTAGTACACAGTAGTAATCTGTACAATATTGTGATGTTAGCACACGAGTTTAAGCTAGCATCATTAACTCACCTGCTGACCCCCCGCTGCTTCTCCTCACATCGCAGCACAATCTCTCTGCTTTGGCCGATGGTTTCTCCCTCTGGTTTGTCTCTGCTCTCTGGGGTGAGCAGCAAACTCATAACTTTATGGTTTTGGTCCATCATAAGTAGAATTATAAACATTATAATACTTTATAAACATATATACATAGACGCCCCTTGGACTGGCGCTGCTGGAACTGCCGTAGTGGCTGGCCGTCATTTTAGATGGGTCTCCATTCGCCCCCAGTGCATTCATTTCTACTGAAGAAGGTGCTTACCCAACTAAAAAACACATTTTATCAAGCTTTTTCAAAAAAATCAGACATTATAATTACAACACTAGTTAATTAGAACATAACATACACCGTAGGCTGCACAAAAACATACATAGTTGCTCACTCTGCTTGACTTTGGAGAGTGAAGAGACCCATCCAATATGACAGCGAGGCTGCTATGCGCTTCAGAGCCCAATGGGGCATCTATGTATTCATGTCTATGGGGTCTACATGGCACTGCCGTAAAGCAACTCACAGTCAGTACCTCCGGTGGTGGACCGCATGACGTGGGACCCCATAACTCTATCATAGCTCTGACAATGAGCATAATAGATGATAGTTTATGCCACCAAAACCTTTCAAAATAAGTTATTTTAAGGTGTAAAAGTTGTGGAATGTGTGTTTAAAGACACATTCTGATGCTAAGAAAGCTCTTATTTTTTAACTAAAGTTATTTTAGGTTTTGTGTGAAAATACGTCCAGGATTACAAATGCGTATCACCAAACTGACATCATCAAACCAGACACGGAGAAGAAAATGGCTGAATCCTTCCTTCAGGAGGAAAGAACCACCATAAATCTGGCCAAGCGGTAAGTAGCGGCTACGCTAGGGGAGAGGAGATTCTGTGGTGACGTCACTTATGTGACATGCCGACGTCTGATTTGTAGTCAAATAATTACGAACTTTTACAAGCTGATAAAGCTCAAATTACATGACAGGCATGGTCAAAACACACATTGTTACTTTTGTTTTAAATTGAATTATAACATATTTTGTTTCAGGTCGTAAGGCAAAGCTGATTAGGATGTAGCTCTCTTAGTCCCGTTGGCCTGCAGTCATTATTTTGTTCTTCAGGGACCCATGAGCTGACCGGAAGGGGAGGAGACTTAGGCTCCCTACCCTGGAAGAGCTGAATTACAGCAAAGACTTGTTTGTTTGTCACTGGAACATTTTCAAAGAATCACATCTCTGGAACATTAAATATTCTGTAATAATACGTTTTTTTTTTTTTTGTTTTAATGCCAACATCGTCTCGTATTACATAGACTCCTCTCTTGGCCACTGTTTTACATTTTTGATGGGCCATCATAGCACATATGTGGTAAATATGAAATACAACCAATTTGTTGTGAAAATGAAAATTAATCTGGTAAAATTTTAACGTTGCAGATTTTTATATAAAATTATAATTCTTACTACTTATTATTTTTTCATTGGACTGACAAGCTGTTTGGATATTGTACACAGTAAACACATTATATTTGGAATATGAGTCTAATAACAAAAATAAGTAAAGACAAGGAAGAAATATATTCAAAATCTGTCAAAACAGTGCTTTGAATGAGTCAGCAGATTTATTGGTGACCAGCTTAGTATCACCCCCAAAGGCAGACGGAGTCATTTCCCTGTCGTTACCTTGTACCTTGATTTTAAATCTTTTTTCAACTTCAAAGGTTATTGAATACATTTGCCATAGTCTTCACATCTTCACTGGCTCCCTGTCATTTTCAGAGTGCAGTTTGTTACTGACCTTTGTATTTAAAGCTCTCAATGACCTGGCACCTCCCTATTCTCTCTGACCTGCTCACTCCATAAGTACCCGCGTGCACGTTGAGGTCGGCTGACCTTTTGCTGCTGTGCACGCCACGGATGCGATTCAAATCGCGGGGTGAACGAGCATTTGTCCATGCTGCCCCAAAGCTGTGGAACTCATTGCCCATTGGAGTTCGGCAGGCTCCATCTCTGGCGGTTTTTAAATCTCGTTTAAAGACCCACTTCTACGCTTTGGCATTTAGACAGTGACTCGTTTTAGTGTTTTATTGTATCACATATATATATATATATATATATATATATATATATATATATATATATATATATATATATATATATATATATATATATATATATATATATATATATATATATATATATATATATATATATATATCAGACGTCAAGCTAAACAGACAGGGTTAAAAAAATATGATCGACCTTTTTCCCCATCACTTTCATTTTTTAAATAGTAATTAATAAACATTCGATACCATTACATTTTCCTTTGATTTAATTTTAAATAAATATTTAGAATGCCCAGGTAGCACATAATGCAATTTAACGGTTTTCTTAAAGTAGGAACGTTTAACCTGTGCGGCCAGAGCGCTCTCCTTTCTTCTGCTCTGCGTAAACCTGAGCTGATCACCTACTTGTGCGTAATCAAATGTCTATAGGGGACAAGATGGAAAAGATATAGCCATGAGGTTCACTTTTGCCTCAGACCGACTTATTGCTTTTTATGGTGTGGCTGAATCTGCGATCCGCTGCCACGCGGACTGGAATAACAAATGCTGCAGTAACATGAGTTGTTGTCAGGTTCATGAGGAGTCACTGGCTGGAGCGGACCCGACTGTAATACGTCATCCCAAAATAGAACCTAATATCTTAATTTGACCTTGAATGAAAAATTTTATAAAACCTCTTAAAAGTTTTTATCACAGAGGAGGCAGCGCTCATTTCTGTCTTCAGTCTGACGGCGCGCCGGAGTTTGCGCAGCGTGTGCGCTTATTGAATCTGTGTGTGTGCGTGTGTGTGTGTGTGTGTGTGCGTGTGTGTGTGTGTGTTTGTGTGTGTGTGTGTGTGTGTGTGTGTGTGTGTGTGTGTGTGTGTGTGTGTGTGTGTGTGTGTGTGTGTGTGTGTGTGTGTGTGTGTGTGTGTGTGTGTGAGTGTGTGTGTGTGTGTGTGTGTGTGTGTGTGTGTGTGTGTGTGTGTGTGTGTGTATGAGCCGCTCAAGTCACCGCGTCTCGTTATTGGCGCTATTTAAACCAATGTCGTAAAATGACTTCTGCCCAGCCCAGATGTGCTCACTTGTGGACCCGTGAGCCGTGGTTCTGCTGGAACGCGTCTGACCTCTGACAGACGCACTCTGAACTTCAGATCTTCAGCGCGCTGTTAAAAGCCTGAATGGGAATCATTTCTTGATTTATTTAGTTACATCCCCAATGTTCTGTGTGTGAGGTTTACAATGTCAGAACACCTGCATGAGACAGGTGTTAATTACAATCTGCCAGAATAACTCACCACCTTCAGATTTCTCCAACACCGTTAAAAATGATCAAATACGGAACATATCGGGCTGCACAGGCCAGAGTGCTGAAGCTCGGCACATTGTTATTATGAAGCTAGGGCACATGTGGAGGATACACGCGCTCACAAACATATACTTGTTTTCAATTATATTTATTGTGCCCACTTACTTTTTCTTAGGCCCACCTACAAATGAGTTTCTACGCTAATGGTGACATATGACAGACTTCTCTGAGCTCTGCAGCCATTACACTTTTCACCTCGCGCACCCCCTAGCGGCAGCTCGCGCACCTCCAGGGGTGCGCGCACCACACTTTGGGAATCCCTGTTTTAAGTGTTCTTAGTATTCATCTGCTTTTGTTTGGGATTTTTATCCTCTGTTTTAGTTATTTCGAATGGTTGTGTTTTGTTTTAGCCTGTGCAGCACTTTGGGCAGCTCCCATGCTGCGTTTTAAATGTGCTATATAAATAAACTATGCTATGCTATGCTATAGGAAATGCTTCAGACTGACTCCTAATCAGTTGTCACAAACAAAGACATTAAGCTCATCTAGGTAGGTGTGTGTCATGGCCTAAGCTTTAGTTTCTAAACCCATCAGTAAATGATCAATATGAAAAGATACGTAGTCTGGCATCTGAAGTCTTTGAACTTGTCAAAACTGGATGCAAATATTCAGGAAGTCTGTGTGATGTCAGTGATCTGAAGCCACAGTTGGATCTGTGTGAAGCTCCATCCCCATCCTTTCACTGTTTCAGGCCTCCTGGGGTTCTGCGTGGGGTTCTAGCAGCTCACCAGAACATCCTGTCCGTGCACGACGACAGCTGAACTTCAGAAACGAGTGGGCCACATGGAGCGGCTGGTCTGTCTGCTCACGCAGTTGTGGGGGCGGAGCTTCTGTACGGACTCGCACCTGCCTTACCAGGTAACAAAGAACCAGAACTATGGAAAGTGATGATGAAATGCCCACTTTATTTATAACTTATTTAAAGATTTATGAAATACATCTTTCTAACTTACATTAGCATTCTAAATCTGTCATCTGTTTGTGTTTTATTCAGCTTTTCAAGCAAAATTAGGAAACCAATGAAAGCGTTCTTTAATGATTGACAGTCCTATCTTTAATCGAACCCTAACGCTCGGCTACTTATTTCTTTCTCCAAATCAGATTTCTTTTTTGTGTTGATTGAATGAAATTGTTTTATTTTTGCCCTCAGCAGCATAATTAAGAGGACATCTGGGGCGATGGTGGCACAGGAGTTAAGTGCTCGCCCAGTAATCGGAAGGTTGCTGGTTCGAGCCCCGCTCAGTCTGTCGCTGTCGTTGTGTCCTTGGGCAAGACACTTAACCCACGTTGCCTGCGGTGGTGGTCAGAGGGACCGGTGGCGCCAGTGCTCGACAGCCTCGCCTCTGTCAGCGCGCCCCAGGGCAGCTGTGGCTACATTGTAGCTCCTCCCCACCAGTGTGTGAATGTGTGTGTGAATGGGTGAATGACTGATTGTGTTGTAAAGCGCCTTGAGGGGTTCCAGGACTCTAGAAGGCACTATATCAAATACAGACCATTTACCATTTACCATATGTTTGTATGGAGAACATATATGAACAATTGCTGATAATCAAAGATCAAGAAAGAAAATAGGACTAAACTTTTACCATTTTTATGTTTGGTGCACTTTCTATGCAGCGTACGTTTTTCTAATTTTGCCCAGAAGCGTTTAGCTGAGTTTGTTGTTTCTGTTTTAGGAACCCTGTTGGTGGGCCGTGTGCAGGAGATCCCAGACAGTACAAGATCTGCAACACCAAGGTCATTTTAGGTTACAAGTGTTTCCTCTCAATGTAAATAGTTAGATACACAGTTTATGTTTGCTTCATAAATCGGTCTCATGGATGTGTGACAGTGGAAGGCTCACACACACACACACACACACACACACACACACACACACACACACACACACACACACACACACACACACGCATGCACACACACTAGCCTGCGTTTTCATAACAGCCCACTGACCTGCCCACTGTGAGGTCACTGGCGTGTGTGTAGGTGTGTTTGAACAGCCATTCCCTGTTTCCATATTGATGGAAGGTAAACACACCCTGATGAGTCACCAGCATGTTTGAATCTATTTGTTGCAGCTGATTCATCACAACACTCAAATCATTTATAAAGCATCGATCCTGACTTTGCTACGTGAGAAAATGATGATTTGTTTATTTACTGCAGTTTTCACACTAAACTAGTAAAAATCTACTAACCATTTTTTTTAAATGCAACATTAATTTGAATGTATAATTTCGCTATAATGCCTGTCTAAAATGCTTCAATAACAATGAATGCAACTGGGAGTAAACAACAGCAGGATCTGACAACTGGTGCTTCTTTTGAGAGAATTCTGCTGCTGTGTCCTTGGGCAAGACACTTAACCCACTGCTGGTGGTGGTCGGAGGGACCGGTGGCGCCTGTGCTCGGCAGCCTCGCCTCTGTCAGCACGCCCCAGGGCAGCTGTGGCTACATCGTAGCTGATCACCATCAGTGTGTGAATGAGTGTGTGAATGGATGAATGATACACTATAGTGTAAAGCGCTTTGGAGTCCTTATTCTGAGAGGCGCTATACAAGTGCGGGTCATTCATTTATCATTCTGTGCTGTTTCATGGCTGCTTGTGTCCTGTGACGTTGCACTACTGCCGCTTCTCGACTCAGACTAATGTTACACCTCTAAAAAGTCTCAAATCCACATAAACCCAATCCCAGGAAACAGGCTGTTGAAGCATCGGGGAAAACCTAAGCAAATGAAACAAAGGCAGATAATGACATTCATGCAAAATGCCAAACAAGTGTTTGACTCAATTAAAAATAGTAGCTTAAAAGGCAACTGATTAAGGATTTTGTGCTAAATAACATTTACTCTTAGTTTTCCAAGCAATGATAAAAAGCTCAGGAGCTTAGATGAACCTTAAAAGATGATCGTGTAGATTCCATCACCACATCCAGATATTACATAGGAAAGGAAACGACGACTGAGCTCTCTGGAGAGATAGACACCTTTCAGCTGCTCTTTAGAAAGAGAAACAGACACATGCTCCTATAAGCTGCTGAAAGGATGCTCAACATGAAGTAAAAACAGCTTCTGTGATGAGATGATAAAGCATCAGGATCCACAGCTGACCTACTGGTGTAGCAGATTTGTTTTCATGCCAAGAGGTTTGTTTCAGCAGGCTGATGTCAGACCTCAACAGCGTGACTTCTTACACACACACACACACACACACACACACACACACACAGGGACCCAGCCTGCCGCTGAGATCTGTTTTTTATTAAACATTCATGGAGCACCATCAAAAGGAAAACTCACATCAACAGGGACTGTTGAGCAGATAAAATGTCAAGAATGGACAGATTCTCCATTCAAAAGGATTTAAACTCAGACAATAAAAAGTTCAATAGGGGTGTGTGTGCGTGTGTGTGTGTGTGTGTGCGTGTGTGTGCAGGAGTGTTCTGCTGGCTCGGAGGGTTTCAGGGAGATGCAGTGTGCCGCCTTCAACGACAGACCCTTGGTGGCAGGAAACTCCTTCAGATGGACGACGTTTCATGGAGGTCAGTGGGACTGAACATCTTTTAAAGAATAGCTCTGCCTCCTCTTTATTAACCAGTGCAGAGAAACATCTGGTATCTAGAGGATGTAGCAAGAAAATGTTAAATTAGCGTACTCGATCCCTAAACTGCTCTTTGACAGATAATCTAGAGTCACATCAAATTCAACAAACTCTTTAGTAAAAACCAAATGTAGGTTCATGTGAAAAATGCTGTCAGCTTTGACATCTATTTCTACAAATACAGAAAAAACACACATGTACCTGTAGCTGGCAGTCGATGAAGACAACCTAATGTCATGTAAAAAATGATAGAATCTGTGTAGAGATTATAATCTGTTTTTGTAATTAAACAAAGAACAAACCCTGCTGTCAAATGGATTTAAAAAATTTAGATTGTTATAGCTTTATCCCTCTGTATTCCCCTTAAACTCTCACTTCCCTTCCCTGCCTCCTACCTCTCTTTCCTCCCTCTTGCCTCTTCCCCATCACTTTGTTTTTCATGAACAAATACTGAACTGAGAATATCTTCTGCTAGGCTCTAACCCCTGTGAACTCAGCTGCCTGGCTCTGGGACACAACTTCTACTACAACTTTGGTCACGTTCTGGACGGCACATCCTGCAGCAAGGAGCCCGGAGCGGTGTGTGTAAACGGACGCTGTCTGGTGAGTCACGACAGTGCTGGTTGTGTTAACACGAATGGTGTTTAATGCATGGAGGATGAACAAATAAGTGAAAATTGCTTACAAATGTGGAAAGTCTAGAGAACTATAGATCAAGACTGTTTTAAAGAGATACAAGCTCTTATTTGGTCTAGAAGAGCTGCAGCTGACTCAGCCACCATATGTAGAAATGGACCAGGACACATCTGGGTTTCTATAACAACCTGTGAATCTGGGCTGAGCCTAATGCTGTTCAGTCTCAATGAGCTGAGGTTTAACTGCTGTTGACCACTCTGAGAGGAGCTCTCAGGAGACGTGAACCCCGTGCTGAGTATGCACTCATCAGTGGGAACTGCAGCCTTCTGGCATTACAGCTCAGCTGAGCACAAATCCACCATTCCACTCATGTCACTCTCACACAGATGGGGAGGGCTGGAAACAAACATATCTGCAGCATCATGAAATAATACCCAGTGGACACATCTGTTGCAGGGAGGGGACAGCTCAGCGTTGGGATTAATACGTGTCTGTGTTTACATATGTCAGCTTGTGTGTGTATGCTCACATGTGGCATTTAGTGTAAATAAGTAGATTTATGGGTCATATTCTCGAGCTGGGCGAGGTCAGAGCCACGACGAGCTTGAAACAGGAAGCAGATGTAGCCTGCAGCTGGTGTGGAGCGCTGCAGGTCACAAACCAAGATTGGATCTGCAGCGCACATGGCTGCTTTGGACATGGAGGGCTTCCAAAACAGTTGGGATGCTGTGCTGAATATAAAAACAAAAGCAAACATGTGTGAAATGCTGGTTTTGGCTTTCAGTTATTTCGTTGAGTGATGTGGTGCACATTTTCGTTTACAGGTTAAACTAAAAAAATAACAACATGATGCAAAAGTTCATTTATTTCAGTAATTCAAACTATTATATGAGATAGACTCATTCCATGTAAACTCAGATATGTCAAGCCTGTATTTGTTATAACTGTGATGGGCGTGGCTTACTGCTTTTGAAAACCCCACATTCAAAATCTCTACCAGAATATTGTGAGAAGGTTCAACAATACACACAGCATGCTGGGAGTGTAAATAATGCAATATAAGTCAAAACTCAGTTTTCTGGCTCCCCCTTGCTGTGTCAGTTGAGGGCTTCCAGGGGAGCCAGGCACCCTGTTGGGGGAGCTGGGCTCCCCTTAGCTCCCCTGTATCTTGAACCCTGATTTCATCTGTTGATATTCTAAATGATGAAACTTTTTGTCTTTACCTGCGTAGCTGTATGGAATTGTTTTACTCGTAGAGCCAATCTAACACAGATGTTGTCTTCATGCTCGGGAGATTTTTGGTGTTTTGCTGTTCACTTGTTGCTCCCCAGCTGGGGCCCTGTTTACACTGCCTCTTGTCACAGAGGATTCTCTTCTTGTTTTGCTCACCCAGATGCTCGCAGTGTTTTTGTATCTTCAAAGAGACTCAGGGGGATGATTACAGGTTCAGAAGATTGTTGCTCTTCTTCTTGGGAACGTCCCCCTTGATTAACCTGCTCTCTTGAGAGGGAAAGCAGCCACTGTAATCTGTCCAACAAGATTCTCCACACACGATAAACCATGCAGTTCAGAGCCCCTTGCTTTGACATTTTAATGTTTACAGGGACAACTCTCTAACCTCTTCTCCTCTCAGGAGGCCCAAACATGCTGTTTTTGAGAGTAAATGTTTATGAGGGTTGAGGGTACAAATCCTGCTTTTATCCATGCACTTTCACAGGAAGTTAACCCTTTGATGCATGAATTATGAAATCTTCAACCATAATTTTTTAACAATTTTTTTCATTCATCTTTAGGTGTGAATGAAACAAATTTCAACTAATAATTTTTGTAACATTTAATAATTTACAAATCATTTATTACATGTTCACCTCAGTGGACAGCGTGCATTCTGAACATGAAATATGTTGGCTTGACTTACTGAAGTCCAAGTGGAGGGGCTCAAATGCAATAAAGTCTTCAACAGCTGTGCTTAACCCTCCCACTGTCTTCATGGGTGACCCCACGAGGAAAGTTGACCAGTGAGCAGGGTTGATGGTTTATCTCTTGAGGTCCATGTGGCAGGGGTGAGGTGGTGCTCACTCCTCACCCCTGAAACATGGAAGGGAGGGTTAATAGCAAAAAAAAAAAAAAAAAAAAAAAACAGTTTTGAGTACCTGGCCACTGTAGTGACCATTATGCATCAAAGGGTTAATGAAAAGGGATTTTTTTTTACCCATTAGGACACACATAAGACAGAAGGGGACGTTAGTCTGATATTTTATGTTTGCTTGTTATGCAGAAGCCAGGCTGTGACTCCATCTTGGGTTCAAAGCAGCAGGAAGACGCCTGCATGGTATGTGGAGGACACAACACCACCTGCCTGCACCACAAGAGTGTGTACCAGAATCGCAGGATGGAGGCAGGTAGGAAACACACACACACGCGCGCGCATGCACACATCGTCATCATCATCATCATCTGATTATCTCTAAGGGAGATGAGGCATCAGTGTGGGAATATTTCCAAGCCATGTTTTTCTTTTCTCACCCAATATGTATTAGTCATTCAGGCTCAATAAACAGTGTTGCTCACTGATAAATTAGCCATCACTCATGGAAACCATTCAGGAAAACAATCACGACCGGCTGCCTTCCTGGAAGAACTTCAGTTTACAGCAGATTTTAAATTATGGTAGTCACGATTTCAGGAAGAGGAGGAGGAACACAAAGTTCTTCAAGCTCCTCTGACTCAGGGCCACCAAAACATTTTCTATCTTGCTTGGCACCTGCAGTTTGGAGGATAATATGGGGTATGAGAGGAAGTCTGTTGAGGTTTTAGGTTTGCTCAAATGCAGCAGCCACATGTTAAAGAAATAATAACAGCTTATCAAGAGCACTGATGAGTGATTGGGTTTATTAGATTTTAGAAGCTGAATGGGCTAAGTGTTTGTAATGGTGCCATAAAAACTAACCAAAACCACTCAGATTATCATTATCTACTTTGTATTTTATTTCTTCATTATATTGTAGCTCTGTTCAGCACTTTGGTCATTCTGTTTTTAACTGTGTGATATAAATAAATGTGGTATGGTAGGGCTTTGAGCCTGGTATATTCATGTAATGTGTTTAAGGCTTTTACTATTAGTGAACAAGAACAAACTCTGTTTTTGTGAAGTAGTGAAACTTGTAAAAGACCACCAATAATCCCAAACTCCTCGCTGTCCACAGGCGGGCCTTTTGGATACAATGAAGTTGCCATGATACCGGCTGGAGCCACTCATATCCGAGTCACTGATAACAGCAGGAACTATCTCGGTACCTCACACACACACACACACACACACACACACACACACACACACACACACACACACACACACACACACACACACACACACACACACACACACACACACACACACTCGCGCAAACACACACACACACACAGACACACAATACTGCATCTTCTCCCTAGCGACTGCAGTCCCATCTGGGTTCTTGACCCGGTGTGTCTTTTTCCAAGCAACATAATCGCTAAGGGTATCTATTCTCATTCTTGTTTATATGCATGCTAAATAAAACAGGTCCTGAAATGGCACATACTGTGGTTTGGAAACGGATGCTCATAAAGATCATATCTGGGCACCAGGAGCAGAGCTGGTGTCATGGAAAAATCTCTGTTGTAAATAGCCACTGCATATTTCTGCCTCTGACATCCACTTTGCTTCAGCTTGATCAACAAACCAGCACGATCACTGATGTCATAATAACATTTTAACTTTAAAAATGCCATTAAACAATGATCTGTACCATCTCTTCATTCACTTTCTTCTGATGTGCAGCCCTGCAGAATGGTCGCTCCCAGTTTGTGATCAATGGAAACTGGAAGATCAGTGTTCCCGGTGAGTACAGTGTAGCTGGGACCAAGCTGCTGTACCGGCGCTCTGCAGATACCTGGGAGAGCTTCGAGGTGCCAGGACCTACCCAGGAAGACCTCCATCTAATGGTAAAACACAATGAACCCCAGAACAAACCGAAGAAAGACTTACATTTTTTTCTACCTGTGTTCATGCTCCTCTCGTGTGATAGGTTCTTGCCACAGAAAGAAACTCAGGGATTGAGTACGAGTACTGGCTTCCACCAGACCAGTATGCCCTCTACCATGGGAGGAGGAGTCCACTTCGACAGGCTCACCACACCTCCAGCTACTTGCCCAGGATCCAACCAACTACATCAACCACAACAACCACCACCATCCGTTCACCTCCGAACACCACCCGATCCCACTGGTGTAAGTCCTATCTTCTCTATCAAATCATCAAATACCCCCCATGTGATCGTGTCAATCAAAACCTTTAGTCAAATCTGGAAGTTTCTCTATGTTCTTTGTGAACTTCAAATACAGAAGAAAGTGCATCATTTTTCTAATTTCTATCATGTGCTGCACATCTTCAGGTTTTTACCAGTCTTATCTTTTAAATTAGATAATGACAGATTACATTCTCAGTCTGACTCCAGACACCCCAGTTCCAAGTGTCCTCAAAAGGGTTTATGTTTACTATAATCCCGAATTTTATTTCAATAGCTGTAAAACTGAAAGAGTTATAGACATGTGTAACGTCACGAAATGGCCTGGTTTTGAGATGCCACAGGTCAAATTCACAGTCAGGTCAACTTACCCCTGGCTATGACAACCTACAGTATTTTCCCCTCACAGGAGACTGGGTGTCTGCACGTAGTCCCTTTAATCAGAGCCTGCTGCCTCACACCAGCTGGACTGCAGCCCTGACAGTGATAATAAAAGATAAACAATAACAGTCTCTCCTCCAAGGTCCACCACAGAGGAACTCTTTTAAATAAACTCCTTTATTCCCAGGAGAAAGAAGATGTTATAATTAAAAATAATCATTGAATGAACTTTTGTTATTGCTACTCATAATAATTATAAACAATGAAATGTTCATTGATCTGTGCTTAATGATATATTCTTAGCATGTTTACCGGATGAGGTCATCAACATTTGCACTCACACAAAGACGGAGTAAAGTAAGTTAACGCATGACACATAAGTTAACCTTTTGCCCAGATTCAGAGTTTCCATCAAAGAGGGTGTGTCTCTGAAATGCTTGGTAACATCCTCAAACGTGCCAACTTTTGGTTGGCTATTCAAGATAACATCAACCCATTAAAACTAGTTTACTCTGGTTTTTTCCTCAGTTCAAGTTGAGTTCGAACAAGTCAACGGTTCAAGAGTTTTAGAGGAAAAGCTTTAGACCGACCATCTTTTGCATAACCTCTTTGACCACAAGGTTTTTGAAATGGTGTCAAAACCTTTAACTTTTTCCGCACCTGCGAAGCTGAGAACAACAAGATAGTTCCTGCAGAACAAAGCTGACATAAACTCCTTCAGAGTTATTTTTAAGACGCTCTGTTTCATCCATTTATCATTGTGACCTGGGAGACATCTCAAGGCTGATTTGGTCACATCGAAGTTTCTCTACAAACCAGGTGCAGTGGGGTCGTCGGCTCCTGGACATATCAAATCCAAACGGGGGTCTCCAGAATGGGTGAGGTAGAACACAGCGAGATAGCGTCTGTATGTGGTTTTAATAATAACAACTTATAGCTTAATGCAAACCAAATTCTTTCCATCGAGAACTCAGCTTTCTGAATATACGGAGATTCTGAATACATTATATTCACACATAGGTTACAGACATCATCCTTTAGTTTGCATCCACTCACAGTAAATAATAGTTTAAACAATTCGTCAAGTCTTAATTGTTTGTCAAATAAATTCTTATTTTGTTGATAAACCTGACTGTTTCTTGAATCAAAGTGAAGTGTGCACGATCCCTTAATGAATAAAAGAATCTTAGAATCTTCTGACTAATCATCTTAAGACCAGGCAGGGGATATTCTATATTTATATAGAGTATCACAGCTTTTGGTCACAAGTGGTGTTAATAATAATAAATAGCTTAAAGCAATTTACTTAACCCAATATACCCTTTATTAACATTACATAATGGCGAGCCAGCCAGAAAGCCGACGACCCCACTGCACCTGGTTTGTAGAGAAACCTCGATGCGACCAAATCAGTCCTGAGATGTCTCCCGGGTAACAACGATAGATGGATGAAACTGAGCGTCTTAAAAATAACTCTGAAGGAGTACACATGTTTTGCCATTTTGCCAGTTTTTAAGGTCAGTTGAAGTGGATTAGGCTAATCAGTTGTTAATTTGCATGTACTGATTGCTTTCTGACAGTTTCACTAAAATCTGGTCTGTGGGACCCAAATTCTCAAATACATGCAATCATTATCATTACATAGAGAAAGCCATATTGATTTATTATTTTGTAGGAAAATTCAACCAGGGACAGGAGTTATAAATTAGCAGTAGCTATAAACTCTGAATGCATCAGCTACATTCCTATCAAATAAAGGTTAAATAAATAAATCTTATCAAAAATAAATAATTGGCTGACCTTGAAAAAAGAAAATTATTCAAGGGATGCGTGTTGTAGGAGTTAGGGCTGGGCGCATCGATCTAAAATATCGATAGCATCGATCTAACGTTGGTATTGAGTATTTATTAGATACCTACGTGATGATATCAATTCAGTTTCTTCTAGCCTGGCAAGCCATGACGTACTCACCGCTACAGATGTCGGTCAACGAGGCAGTCCACCAAACTCCGTCAAAGAAGATGCAAAACACATCCTTTTCCTAAATAAACGTTAGTACTTCTATCTGATCTTGACTCAATCAAAAGCTAAAGTCATAATAGTCCAAACTTGATGCCAAAGCCGTTTCGAACAAGCGACTGACCATCGACTAGTCACGTTTGTTTTTTTCCAATAACATCCCGCCTACTTAGTGTTGTGATTGGCCCATGAAATCTATAGAGCTTTATGATTGGACCACTACTGACCGGCAGCCATCTTGATTTGTAGTTTACCTGGCTGATACCTGTGATTGGACTGTTTCAAGCGGCAGCCATGTTTATTGACAGGGACATCCTGCCTACCTCGTTAAAAGAGTGCTGTGATTGGCTCAACAAACCAGTAAAGCACTGTGATTGGAATGCCACGGATGTCAGTCAACGGGGCAGTCCGTCGTTACATTTAGAGTTTCCTAATAAAAATTTAATTTACCTGAAAATGTTTCCTGTATTTTATCATCATTGTACACATGATTTATTAAAGGAAAACTTACAAAATAATTAAGTAATCAATAAAACTTGAGTTTTCAGACAAGATTCTCAAATTGATGGTGACATCATCAATATGAGAATCTTGTCTGAAAACTCAAATTTTATTGGTCCTATTTATCTTAATAAATCCCACAAAACTAGATGGTACTAGACTAGTAGTAAAAAGTATCAGTATTAGTATCGGTATCGGCAATACTGGCCCCTGTATTTACTTGGTATTGGATCGATATCAAATTTTGCAGTATCGTACAGCACTAGTAGGAGTACATATCAGAGTGTGTGAACAACTCTCATTCGTGCCACATTTAATTTGGGATTTCTTCTGATAAATGTGGAATAAAAATGTGCTGTTTCTTTATCTCCCTTAAATACGTTGATTCACACAAGAATCACAGCCTGAGGACTTGTGCTTTTCAGTCAGACTCTCCTGTAGTAAAGTAGCCTTTAAGAAAAAAGTTTTCCAGTTGGTGGATTTCTGCCAAAAAGAACGTTTGCCAAAAAGAGTGTTGCATAAAACGGTGAAACCTAAAAGTGATTCATAGTTTTTCTGTGTAATCTGAAAACAAAGATGTCTGCTTCCTCTTTTTGGTCAGTGTGCAGTTGCATCATCCACACTGTAACAGGTTCCCCAGGATGTTTAATTTAAACTGTAAATAAATAAATGCAGTGAGATTCATGTGTGAATTTAGGTGGCAGCCAAACTGGTATTAGTGTGTGTATGTGAGGATAAAAGGACTATTATTATTATTAGAGCATACCAATCACATTAACCTTCCCTTTCATCAAGTCATCCTGTTTTAGAGCACAGTCAGATTATTTTAGTCCTTTTCATGAAAGCCTTTAATATAATTTTCAGACAGGTCCTCTGAAATAATCACATGGAATTCATATTTATGATGTGCAGAGTAGATTTAACAAACAAGACATGTGCTGCACCTGGGGAGTTGCTGGGTTTATAGCAGATGCATACTGGTTTTATTGTTTGAGAGACTCAAATCAGGTGTGAGCATAAAAACGTGATCTGCTTAGAAGCAGAGGAAGGTAATTCCATAACACAAAACCAGATTAAGGGACACAGAAAGACTGTTTTCAGATTTAAACAAAATAAAAAGGACCACACAAACTGAGGAAATTAATGAATGTATCCACAACAGGTACAGAATTCAGCAACAGAAACCAGGTGTGATTCACAGACAAAGGGACTTTATAAACTAAAACAGGAAGTAAACTAAAACAGAATACACAACTATGACCCACAACAAACACAAAACAACCCAAATACACGGAAGTATTGCTGGTTTTACAAGGACATGATGTTGCTTTTAATTGCGCTACGTTAGCCTCTAGACATGACCTAAGCATGTGGTTGGTTCCTTGAGGACTGAGGTTTAGTGGAGATTCAGACTGTTGATACTAGTGGTGTTATGGAGCTGTTGTTTGGCTTTTGGATGAATGGATGAAAATGAATTCTAGTGTGGACTCAAACTGTGCAGCTAAGGTGGAAAAGGAACCCTTAAAACATTGTTTGTACCTCTTTAGTTTTGTGTTGTAGTTGTTTGGCTAAATAAACATGTTTAGACACTGCTCCAACCTGAATTCAGATTTACTCATTCATTCGAACATAGAAGACAAAGATTGTTTCTAAACTTTAATTGAAAAACACGTGTTTTTTTTTGTCTTCTAGTTTTAGATCTCTTAAAGACACCGCGCCAGTCTCTCCAGCACAACCACCATCAGCGTCCTCGCCAGCCCATCACGCGTTTGGAGCGTGAGGAAAACCACAGAAACCTCCTGCCTCAGGCCCCACCTGGAAGTATGTTCACCTAAACCCTAAACATCTACCACTTAGCCACACATGAGCTGTTCGACCTGAAAAGAGCTGCTAAACTTTGTGTTTTTATGCCACTGTAGACACGGTGATTTAAATTCAATAACTTTAATAACATTTCACATTTGCTCCAATTTGATGATGTTTGAAAATGTACAGTAAAAGTTTGAACAAGGGGACGGGGTGCCTGCAGCAAGGCTACTTTACTGTGTAACCTCAGATCTGCTCTAAATCACGTTCTTCCTTTTCCAGCCTAACTCTTTTCCGTTCATCACTCAGGGCATTGTGGAAAATGTCTGCGAGTTAAAGGTCGGAGAGAACGCCAGAGGCAGTATTGCCAAAAAGACTTTGGTGAGGCTTTACATGTTTCTTATGAAGGGTGGTGGTGTGGAGCGATTATGGTCACAGTGTCATACCTGCAGTAGACAGCAGACAGGGAAGTCCTAGTTTGGAGAATATTGGATGAATTTTCTTCAAGGAGTCAAGCTAAAAGCATCTCAACAGAGAAATGATAAACAGTGAAATCCACCATCTAGATCAGGTCCAACTTTCTCACCATGGCCCCTTTCTCCTCAGACACAGACTATATATACCTTAGGCCACATGCCTTCTACTCTTTCTTTTGAATGACAGATAGATGAGGTATAATGAGGTATCATAGATGAGGTATAATAAACATGCTATGGCTGGGACGAGGTAACGGTGGCGTTGGTTGTAGACGATGGAAGCTCTTTGGGCTTTTTAACTAATCGTAGTTTTATTGGATTGTTGATTTGTTCCAAACAAAGACATAAACAATGTAACCATCAACAGCAAAACACTATTTAGAGTTATTTCACCAACTGCATTACTCGGTTCTGTTTTTTAACACAGAAAAGGGTTGTTTTACCTTTTTTTGATGACTTTTCGACTACTCCTGCAGTCTTCTTCAGAGCTTGCCACTGTTGGCGGCGTCACTTCCTTCTCCATTAATCCGCAGGAAGCAGAGGACGGTATCGCCAGCAGCGAGCTCTGAACAAGACTGCAGGAGTAGTTGAAACGTCAGCAAAGAGAAGGTAAAACAAAATGTTTCTGTGTTAAAAAAGAACCAATTAATGCAGTTAGAAGAAACACAGAGAATGAACGCGCAAAAGATTCCATTTCATCATGTGTCTTTTGAGTCACGACAACAAAATGATGGCAAAACACATTGTTGAGAAAAGATGCACATCAGTAATTATTCCCACTTTTCAATTATGACTCCCACAGTGGAATGACCCCTAGCAAACTTGTCCCACACAATTCGAATTTCAAGCAGCGATGCTCCTGGAAAAACAAACTTTTGTGCACCCTGACTCACCTCTTCCAGGTTCCTGTAACAGCTCTTCTATACTTTTATAGCAACTTCATCATTTTTTTATGTTGTCTGTATAAACTCAAATCTGTCTGGTACGTGTTTCTTAGATTTCTAATCATGAATGAATGAATAAATGCCTTCAATCTCCTCAACACTGGGACTCCCAGAATCCTAACACATACCTAAAGGCATTCTGGCCATTTGATTGTGAGGATGTAATCGAGTAAAATGGTTATCTGCGCTTAGTTGAGTAAGTACACTTTATTCATACAGCACTTTGGTTGGCCTCGGCCGTAAGTAAGTACATTTTATTTATATAGCACTTATCACGGACATAGAATAACAAAGTGCTTCACATAGATCAAAACAAAATAAAACGAAGTCATAAAATCATGAATAGATTAACATCATAAAATCAAAATGATCTCAAAACAGAATCAGATTAACATCAGGAAAAATAAAGTCATAAAATTATAAAATTTCATAAACAGGTGAAGATACAAATTTTGAGTTAAAAATAAGAAAATAAAAGGTTTAGGTAAAAGCAGCTTTAAATAAAAGGATCTTCAGCTGTTTTTTAAAAAGTGTTCAGACTGTCAATGCTGCGTAAGGATAAAGGAAGATCATTCCAGAGTCGGGGTGCAACAGTCTGGAAGGAGCGATCACCTCGACTTTTATATCTGGTCTTTGGAACTTCTAGAAGGTTCTGGTGTGTGGACCTGAGGGCTCGGGTTGGAGCATAAGGCTTTAACAGTAATAGAGGGAGGAGCTTGATCATGTAGAGCATTGAAAGTTATAATCAGGAGTCTAAAACGGACTCTAAAGTTAACGGGTAACCAGTGCAGAGACATCAGAATAGGAGTGATGTGAGCTCTTCTGTTTGCTCCAGTTAGGAGCCTCCAGAGTTCTGGACCAACTTAAGGTGGTCAAGGGCCTTTTTGTTAAAACATGTGAAGAGTGTGTTACAGTGATCTAGACGGGAGGAGATAAAGGCATGGATAACCATTTCAAGTTCATGTTTTGACACCACCCTTCGCAGTTTGGAGATATTTCTTAAATGATAAAAACAGATTTGGACCAACCTTTTTGAGTGGCCTTCATTGATTGGTCAAAAATAACACCCAAATTCCTTAAGTTTGTCTTGACGGCAGAGGATAAATGACCAAGTTTTAGACTAATCAGGAGAACCATGCTCTCAGGGGCAATGATGAGACATTCGGTCTTTTCAGAGTTTAACTGAAGTTAACACATTATGAATATAAAGACCTGATAGTATGGAATAAAAATACAAATGTAATCCAAACTGTGAACAGAAGCTTGTCACGGCTACTTTCCGCAAGGGGGTGGGAGGTCGTTTTCCACGATGTTATTACAGTCTCAGCCGCTTACTACTGCAGTTATCGTCAGGTTTCTCCTCTCTGCCCGAAGCAGCATCGTTTCTAACGTCTGTTATCCTGACAACTTTCTCCTAAAAGCCATTTTAGCTGCAGTTTTATGGGGGCAATGACCAGAGAATGAACACTGGGCAACAGTGACTCTGTCCATCATCCACAGGAGAAATTCACCAAATTACAGAATTGAGCTGTCCGAAAGACGGTTGTGGGAGATAAAGATGGAAACAACCATATTTATTTTTTGATATTTTATTTAATAGACATTGTAACATGGGAATAATGCTAAATAAACACATTGCGTTGTTGGAACATCCATATTTATGAAAAGTCAGGAAACAAGGACAACATAATCTGTTTACACTCCAGAATACGAGACTCTGGACAGTGTTTCAATAACCAATGTTGTTTAATAGTCATGTTTTCAGTATTGACCACATATGTAATCATGAGTCTTTACTTTTTCAAAATGATCAGCCCTAGAAAATTCATATTGAAAGAGTTCTGTTCAGTTACCCACTGTGCAAAGACCTACTGCAGACGTCCGACGGAGGTGGTCTGGACCGATGGACTCAACAGGATCTGCACGTCCACGAGACTGTTTGCAGGGTAGCTTTAGTCCTTCAGGAGAATTTCTCTTTAAATCTCCAAACTGAGTCACTCTCTACTGCAAGTAAGCTACTGACTAATGTTTACTTTGCCACACAACCCCACTTAGACTATTCATATAAATTTGTGGCTGATTTATTTCCCTTTTTGTGACGAGACACTAACTTGTTTTTTTGCCAGTGTTTCGAGCTAAAGTGCTTGGGAAGCTGTACAGAGGCGAGGAGACTCGCTATGATGTCCAAATTATCCACACGTACCGAAATCGCTATCGCCTGGAGCACCGGGAGTTCCTGTGGGTCCAGAATGTGTGCGACTGCCCCAAGCTGGAGGAGGGAAAACAGTACATCTTGATGGTGCGCCGCCACATTAACTATGAGCACACTCTGAACCGTATCCTGATGGAGGAGGAGAGCTACGTGGTGCCATACAGGCCCAGAGAGGACGAGCTCCTGCGACCACTAGAAAGGCTCTGCAGCAACAGAGGAACCAAAGAACCTGCAGAACTTGGAGTGTAGTTTTATAAGAGTGTTGCAGAACCAGGACCTTGTTCATCTGCCACGCGTCGGCTAGGGACCTTTATGAACGGCCCGATGAACGTTTGAGTGTGGTATGACCAGAGGAAGAAGCAGCCTTTTTGATACATGCCTCGTTAAAGTTTCAAATGAACGTCACGTCTATTTAAAAGCCCGGACAGCTTATTGTACCACATAGCACTTTAGGTGGACGCTGATGTCCACCTTAAACAAATACCAAAGAGAAGAACACTGACTGAAACTGCTGATTTAACACATCACTCAGTTGTTTTCCATATTGTATTAATTGTGTTTACGTTCAAACCTAAAGAAAAAATCCATTGAAACTGTTTTTTTCTGTGGGAACCCAGAGGTTTTTATTCCTGAAACTCCAGCCCCTCAGTAGATAATTCAGCAGTAAGACCTACACATTTCACACGTTATTATAAGCTTTGTGTCCACCTTGATGACTTTTATTTAGTCTTAAGGAAATAGATCTTTATTTTTCTGCTGCACTCATACAGTTGGGTCAATCCTTTCACACACCCTGGTGGAGAAGATGAATGCAAACACAAAAAACTGTTTTTACTCATGGTCAGTGATGTTGTGAAGCCATTCGTGAAGCAATATGTGAACTCATTTCAAATCACCATAACAAAATAAAATATCAAAATAACCCCATCGACACATCCACACACCCCGGTTCCTAACATGTATCGCCCGCTTTAGCATCAATGGCAGGCTGGAGTCTTTTGTTGTTGTGGAGAAGGTTCTTAAGTTCTTAAGTATTCACACCCCATCCCGTTCTCTCAGATCTTCTTCTTCCATCCATCTTGCGTTTCCTTCTGCCCGTCTCGCTACCATGGGGAGCAGAGCTTTCAGCCGCTCTGCTCCCCGTCTCTGGAACTCACTTCCCCAGACATCAGGAACGTCGACAGTTTTACCCTTTTCAAAACAAAACTCAAAACACACATGTTTAAATCTGCCTTCAACCTCTGATTTTATTGAACTGTTTCTCTCTTTGTTTTTTATTTTTTCTTGTTTGGGTTTTATTATTGTTTTATTGTATTTTATTAAGTGTTTTCTGTCAAGTGACCTTGGGTGTTCTGAAAGGCGCTTTTAAATAAAATGTATTATTATTATTATTATTATTATTATTATTATTATTATTATCTAATGCCCATTCTTCTGGACAAAAAGCCTCCAGTTCCTGTAAATTTATACCAAGACCAGCGCGTTTGAGCTCCCCCCACAATGGTTCCATGATACTGAGGTCAGGAGACCGAGACGGCCACTCCAGAACCTGAGGCAGAACATGTGGATCATTGTGTTGTAGGAACACCCAAGGCCAGCTTTCAGGCTGAGAGCACAAATTCTCCTCCTGCTGCATTCATCTTGCCATCAATTTTGATGAAGTTTCCAGTGCCACCTTCACCTTCAGTCCAGTTCAACTTCATAGTAGGAATGGTGAGCCTTTCATCGTAGGCCTTGTTGACTCCTCTCCTAAAGTAATGTTTATGGTTGTGGGCAAAATGTCAAACTTTGGTCTCATCACTCTAAATGAACATGTTCTAGAAGTGTTTGTCTCTGTGCTGTTTCTCATATTGAACGCAAGATGTTTTGTGGTGTTTTTGTAGTAATGGTTTTCTTCTGGTTACTAAACCTTGTAGCCCATTTTTCCTATAAGCGCATCCTTTTTGAGCTTCTTGCAACAGCCATGCCACTTTCTTCGAGGGAGTCCTGGATGTCAACAGAACGTTTCTGAGGGGTTTTCTTTGCACCGAAAACAATTATTCTGCCCGTTTTTGCAGACATTTTTATTTATTAGATTTCTATCACTGCTGATTGGCATTATCGGTATCTTGGATATCTTTTCATTCCCCTTTCCTGTTTCATAGAGTTAAATCACCTTTTCTCATGGATCCTGTGACAATTCTTTTGCCTTCCCCATGACTCAGAAACTGGAAACATCAGCTCAGCTCTGGATGGAAGATGCAAGGGTTTGTTTGCCAGGAGCCCAACAACTCACACTCCTTTTATAAACACACACTGATTCCAGGGAAAGGGATCACAGGTGAGGAGGGTTACCTTTAGAAGCCATTCAAACCCATTTGTGTCAGGTTGTGTGCATGTTTCAGGCCAGAATCAGTGTGATGTGCAAACCTTTGATAGGGTCATTGGTATTTTATTTTATTATGGTGATTCTCCTCTTCACTTTTTCACTCCTCCAATTTTTACCAACATGTTTCTGTCCCACGGCTGCAGAGAATCAGCCAGAATATGTGGCTATATTTAAAATCCGGCTGTTGTTTGTGATGCATGCAACCTGCAGCAGACTCAGACGGTCTGTTCTGTTTACTAATGACAAGGTCTGAAAAAAGAGTTCTTAATAGTTTCTAAAATGTAAAAAGCATGAAAGAGTGACACCCGATTTTCTAACGTTTTGTTGTGTGCATTTTTTAAGAAATAAGCTGAAATCTTAACTGGACTTGTGTGTCTTTTTAGGATGTCTGTTTCTAATTTGTTGTGTCAGTGAGTTTTACTCGTTGCTGGAATAAATTTTCAGCTCTTTGATACTTAACATGAAAGATATATTTAAATATACAGTATTTTGATCGTGTGACACTGATTAGCTGCAAATATATTAAGTACATTTTACCAGATTTGTTATTAGTGTGATGTCTGATATTGTTTTGTGCCTTATTTTATTGATTTCCAATCTCACATGTAATATCAAACTTTTGATATGTGCCAAAAGAGCATATTTGCCTATATTATAACTAATAATGATACATTTGATATAAAAAAGCCTTTCAAGACACCCAAGGACACTTTACAATGATGGAGATAGAATAGAATATTTTATCATTCTAGCTGATCTGTAATACACTCCATTTGGATTATGTGTGATTTATAAAAGAGAAAGAAGTGAAAAAGTTTGTAAGAAAACTTTTATTTACAAAAAGCTTCAAGCCTACAACAAATAAAACAAGTTTAACCACCCATCTATTGAACTGAGTCTGATTCCCACTCGTTAACAGTAAAGTCATCGCAGACATTTAGCTCAGTTTCCCCTCAGGAGACAAAACGTCTAGTGATTATAAAAGAGGTCTATTTCAGATTTGCATCATAGGTCCTCTCAGTGTGTTGGAGACACGATGGTTTCTGAAGGCTTGACACATCAGATACAACTTTTTTCTTGTTTTCTTCTTCTTCTTTTTTTTTTGGTGTTTTTAATTCACATTTTACTTAACAATTACAGCAACTGTAAAACAAAAATGTAAACAAGTATTATTCCTTTCTGGACAGGAATGAGCAGAAGTGGATGATGACCTGTAAAGCAACAGAATGCGAGCATCAGTTTCCTCCTGTTGTTTTTAATCACCTCTGTTGTGTTTTCACAGCATCATTCATTTCTGTTTAGCTGCCAATCCGTCAATCCTGTAAACCTCAGTGAGCATTTAAATTAAATCTCATGAACAGATGCAGAAGTTATACTCTTTTGTGATCTTGGGCAGTTTCAGGTTTGAGCAAATCTTTCTTTGACTTTGAGTCAGAAAAATAAATAATTGTTAGAAAAGTGAAATCTGTTCATTACACATATTGAACAGAACGTGAAACAAAGCTTGTGTAATTATTATTTGTGATGATACTCAGAAGAAACATGCGTGTTACAGCTATCTCATTAATCACAATGTTTTTGTTATCAGTAAGGTTTGAAATTAGAGCCAGGTGATGAAAGGGTCAGATTTCAGGAATAAACTGTTTGTTTTATTGTTTCAATAATTTATTAACAACACAAATCCAGTCACCTTTCATCTTGAAGGGATTGGAGTTAGGGTTAGTCCTCGGAGTATTTATGACAAATGACTCTCAGCTAAAACTGAAACCGCCAGTTTCAGCCTGTCAAACGGGATTTACTCAGAAAGTGGATCAGACGCACGTTCAGCCATCACCTTCTGAGAGTTTCATGTCTGATAACCTGGTAGTTATATATTTTGCCAGCCTTTATAAATGAACCATTAGAGAGGAAAGCTCTGTGTAATCGCTGTCTGTTGTGGAGCTCATGCTCATGTTTGTGTGAGACCAGACGACTATTCTTTATTCACCAGTAAAAACAAATCTAGTCTAAATGCTTGGAGTTTGTTCCTCTGCAACAATGATACATCTAGATTTATTGTGCATAATATTAAAAGTCTAAATACTGTAAAACAGTATAAAATACAATAGTATTTGAACAATAAAAAAGACATTTCTCCATATTTGAAGTTGCCACATTGGACAGTCCAGTCATCGGTGTCCCTTTGGCAGTTTGTTCAGTAAGTGTGTTTCAAACAACACACACGTCCTTGATGTGTGTTAGGGTGTGTGACACCAGGACAAGTTCATCACAACTCAACAGGGCACCAAGCACTGAGGCCTCTCACGCCGCTTCTCACAAGTCTGTGAGTCTTTGACCTTATGACCCCAATGACCTTCATTCATAAAAGTCTCCTCGGACGCACCACAGAAAGCTCAGAGTCGTGCGTAGCTCCTTTCAGCCTGGCTGCCCACAGGTTCTGTCAAACGCTGACGCTGACATGGCGGCAGGATGCTGGACGGCGTTTGATGCGGGAGCGCCGCGGTCTGGACTCATTCTGACAGTTGCACAGAGGGCCAAGCAGCAGCCAGAGGTAGAGGATCACACAGGCCCAACAGGATGACATCTTCACCCAGAAGGTAGACCAGCAGCCATGGGTGAAGGTGGTCTCCAGTACTGCTGACTCATAGCTGCAACAAAGACAGAAACACAGGTTGAAATATGAAGTGATCGTTAAAATATAAACAAAATATCCAAAAAGTGTCTCCGTCCAACCTGAACCAGTTAGTGAGGGTCATCATGACGTACAGCGAGGCCAAGAAGAAGACGAAATGGAAGAAGAAGTAGCTGTATGCCACTCTTTGGGTCTCGTTGTGAATGACTTTCTGACAGCCTTTGTTGTCGTCATCAACCACAAACTCATCTTCAACTGAAACATGATCAGGAAAAGGTCCAGTCAGCTGTTAGCATGTAAGTAGCAGCGTGTACGCTCATAAAGGGAGGACTTCTCATCATCCTCATATCTGAGTTCAGAAACATGATCCAACATCAGTCCTACCGATGAGTTTGCATGACAGATGTTCTGGCAGAAATCTGATGAAATCACGCCTGGTAGCGTCACAGGCTGAACCGGAAGTGTTTCCGGTTGTTGTCGCTGCTGCTCATCAGCAGAACATCCAACTTTAGTTTGGTCAGGAACAATATCATCCATTCATTCAGTAATGTTATATTTATCGTACTGCATTAATGAGCACAAATGTCTCTGTATTGTCCTGTTGTTGAAGTTTTGCACATCAGATGTCTTATGATGTTCTTGTAACCCTGATGTAGCAAAACACATTCTCACTCCCAGCGCGTCGAAAACAAACGCTTGGTCAGCCACCCTCCGCCTCAGACCCCTGACGCCAAAAGTGCCCTTTGTCGTTACTTAAGTGCGAAAAGGGGTTTTTCCCTTTTCTGACTGCAGATCCCAATGCACCAAACAAGCTCGTTGTACCTCACCCTAACCTTATATCCTCTTATTTAACCTTCCCCTCACCCCTATCCTAACCTTAACCATCTTGCTAGCGAACACGTTAGTGATGTGTCGATCGCTCTAAAAGCCGGCTCTATGAAGTGAACGGCGCGAGCCGCCTCGTGATTGGTCGAGTTTGGATCGAGCCAACGTGAGGGGGAGGTTTCAACTACCACGGTGGAGGTTAAAAGTAGAGGGTATTTGCAACCTCCCCCTCGCCAGCTGGTATGTTCTAACGTTCCCCTTGGGCGGCAAATACGAAAATTCACAGTCAGACTCTGACTGTCAGAGTCAGAATGCATGGGAAACAAACGCTTGATCACAGTGAGAGTAACGTTTTAGGTAGCAAGAGGGTTAAGGTTAGGATGAGGGAGAGGGGAAGGTTATAAATAGTGAAACGTTAAGGTTTAGGTGCGGTTAAATGAGCTGGTTCAGTGCCGCGTCAGCGGATATCTCATCACGTCAGTTTTACGCTGCATTGGGATCTGCAGTTACAAAAGGGAAAAACCCCTTTTCACACATAAGTAACGAAAAAGGGCACTTTTGGCGTCAGGGGTCTGACGTGGAGGGTGGCTGACCAAGCATTTGTTTCCGACGCTTAGGGTGTGAGAATGTGTTGGATGTAGACTAAACCATTACCACTCACATGTAAATGCTGAATGGTTAACTTTCTCCTGGTCTGTTGGTTTAAGTGTCCACCCTGGGACTAGGAGATCAAGGTTCAAATCCCAGTCGGGTCACATCAAAGATTAAAAATGGACTCAGTGCCTCCCTGCTTCACACTCAGCTTTAACAGGTTGCACTGGGTTCCTGAGCACAGCCACTGCTGCAGCTCACTGCTCCCCATAGGGATGGGTCCATTGTGGAGATGTTTTCACCAGCATGTGATGCTGACTAGTGGGACTTTAACATTTATGCAGATGAGCAAGCTCTTACAGCTGTATTCGTGTTTCAGTAACCCAATCCTTCGTGAAGCAGTCAGGCTCATTAAAGACTGTATATTGTCCCTAAAGGTGTGTGTAAGTAAGTGAATGTGTTTTTGTCTTTGTGTTTCTGTGATGGGCCGGGTTAGGGTTAGGGTAAGGGTTAGGGTTGGGGCACCAGCACCACTAGTTAGGAGTAAGCAGTTAAGATAATGGATGCTTTTATTATCTTTGAAACTATACGGGTGTAAGGTAGAAAAACTTAGCCTGGCCTGCCAGACTCGTCCTCTGTTTAATTCTGCACAGAGAAAGAGTCTGGTAACTCACAGGCAGAGAGGCACTTGAGGGGCGGGACTAGGCAGCTCAAAAATGACCAATCAGAAAAAAGACGGAAATCCTGACTGTACCGCACCACGTGGAAGTTTTCTAGTTGTAGTAAAAAAATTGCGTCTGGCAAAGGTGCAAACATCTTTTTTTTTTAGAAGAAATGCTTTTAGCACTTCTACTTGTGGTTTTAAAGACATCTGAGTCATTAAGAACAGAGGAAAGAGTTGCAGCTATATCCGCCGCTGTCTTTGTTGATTATGTGAAACTGAGCGTCGCTGTGTGTGACGTCCGCGACGCTGTAGTTTTATAGCTGTAGTAAAAATGCAGTCTGACGACAGCGCAAACATCTTTGTTTAGAAGAAATGCTTTTAGCGCTTCTACTTGTTGTGGTTTTAAAGACGTGTTCAAATCATTTAGAGCAGAGGAAAGAGCCGCAGCGAACTCCACTTCAGTCACCATGTTTATGACAAAGTCGGCGTTGTGGTGTGTGACGTATGATACTCAGCGCTGATTGGCTCGGTTGGAATTCTCAGGGGGTGTGGTTATTGAACAGGAGAGTTCCCAGACTCTTCCTCTGTGCAGAATTAAACAGAGGAGGAGTCTGGCAGGCCAGGCTAAGAAAAACTAAACACGATTAGAAGTTTTACAATCTAGAAATTCATGGATGTAGTGAAAAGCCCTTTGTAAATAAACATCCTGTGCAACTGTAGAAATTATTACACCGCTATACTGCTTCTACTACTACCACTACTACATGTTTACTGGCTGTCTCTTTAAAAACAAGGATTTTTCTGCTAAAACACACCACATTAGGGCAGTAGATCAGTGTGTTTGTACAAACCAGGTTCCTCCTCAGGGCAGCAGAAACAGCAGGTTGCTTTCTGGAACTCATATCGGTAAACTTTGATCATCCAAAAAGGCCCGAACACCTCCGCCAGGTAGGAAGCTTCGTTACTGCGCAGACGTTAGATTTAAGCTGCTTTTTTAAATGTCCACAGAGTCTAATACAGAAGACTAATTCTGTTTCCTTGTGTTGTGTGTTTTACTCACCATGCAAACAGGACACAGCAGTACATGATGGCAGCTCCAATTATGGCAACAGCATTGCCTTCGTTCTGGATGCCATCTTGTCCCACGCTGGGGTAACAGACAGTCATGTTCATACCCTGGTACACAACTGGAACACAGAATGGAACATCTGGATGCAGTTTCACACAAAAGAAGTGTCTCAAACATTTAAAAAAAAAGTAAAGATGCAAAAAATACACAAAAAACAACAAAAATGTGTGTGTGTGTGTGTGTGTGTGTGTGTGTGTGTGTGTGTGTGTGTGTGTGTGTGTGTGTGTGTGTGTGTGTGTGTGTGTGTGTGTGTGTGTGTGTGTGTGTGTGAGAGAGAGAGCAAAATGTTGCTGCTTGTTGGAAACGTGTTTTAAATACATTTAAAACAAGATCGTTATGAAAAAATAAGAAACTGAGTTGAAGGTGCATCTTTTCTGTGATTTGCTTTTTGAAAACAGAAAGAGAAGTGACCACATGCAAGTGACTTTCCTGTGTGATTTCATTTCCTGTGAAATTCCTTTCGTCCTTGTAAAACGGGGCCCTGTCTACAGTACTGTCATATAGACTGGGCCTCAGCAAACACTCACTAAATACTCACACATGCTTGCATACCAGCTCAACTTCCCTCACAAATTAGAGATCCAGTCAAGGCTCCGGGGAGCCGTTTCAGCCTGATCCCACAGAGACGCTGCGCTTTAGTGTTGTGAGTAAAAAGCAGCAGTGGATCGTTGTTGGGCCTCAGCACTACAGTTGGTGGCGAGGGCCTGTTGAAATCCTTGTGTTACTCTTGATTTTGTGCAAAAGAAAAAAAAAGTTGTTTTTGGAAGCTTTAACATTCCCCCTGAGGCCTGGAAATGTGAGTTTCAGAAATGGGCTTGGCAGCATGGCTCAAGAGCACCACCCTTATTAGCGGAGTCTGAACTTTTACCCAGCAGCTATGAAATGTGGTACCGCTAAAGAACAGCTCAAAACGCAGCAGTCTCCTGGAGAGATGGCCAACGGAAAGTGAAAAGCGTCATTTTGAGGGTGATCAAAGTTTAAGTTTTTTGTTGTTCTTTGTTTATTTTTGTCAGAGAACAAAGTAAGAAGAGCATTTGTGAGATTTTTGTTGAGTTACACATAAAAAAGAGGACCACACATCCAAGATTCTGGTGGGCAAGCCCAGGGCCATAGAGGAGTAAGAGGCCTTTATAAACAACACGTTCTCACACCTGAAGTGTTGAAAAAATGACACTGGATGACCAAAAGTTTGTCGGGAGGCGACTTGCTGTGCCAGAGCGCCAGTTTCCGACACCCAGTGGCGTGTCCAGATCTTTTAAAATGGGGTGGCCCAGGTGAGGCTCAACTTTGTGCATGGGTGGCACCAATGGTTATGCTTTTTTTCTTTTTTACCCCCAAGCCTTTTGTGGACAGTAAAAAAAATCCTATTTAAAGGTAAATTAGTGTGTTGGCACCTGGGGTGGCCAATCAGATTCCAACGTTGGCATGTGCTACCCCAGGCCACTCCCTGGACACGCCCCTGCCGACACCCACAGTAAAACGCACTTTTCACCGACATTTAACCTCTAATCTCCTGCTATTTAACCTTCCCCTTCCCCCCATCCTAACCTTAACCCTGTTGCTCATTCTAAACTTCCCGTTAACCGTGTTGGAGAGGGACGTTACAACTAGGAACAAAGTTTCGAAAGCGCAAGAGGGTTAAGCTTAGGATGGGGGTGAGGGAAGGTTAAATAGCAAGAGGGTGTGCCCCCTGCGACCAGACTCTGGATAAGCGGAGGACAACGGATGGACGGACAGGTGGATATTAAATTCCTACAATGAGACCCAAAAGGGTAAAGTTTAGCCCCAAACAGGCAAACCTAGAGAAGGCCCCTCCAGTAATAAAACAAATCCCATTACAGGGCCCTAAAGGATAGGCAAGGGCCACATGAGCTAACCCCAGCAAGGACCCATGTGGGATGTCTTAGGGTCGACTCTGCCCACACTGCCCCACAGAAAACCCACAGCAGCTTATGAGATGCCGCCTGGGCACGTTAGCTGGCTAGTTGCAGAGACTTTTACTGAGACTTGCTTTAAATGACTAGTTGTAGTAGTAATAGTAGTAGTAGTAGTAGTAGTAGTAGTAGTAGTAGTAGTAGTAGTAGTAGTAGTAGTCGTGGTAGTAGTCACATTCTGATAACATGCTCCTGCATCAGACAGAAACTCCTTACAGTCTTTGAGACATTAAAGGTTTCATAACTGGACAATTTTCTCCAATACTTTGTTTGATTTTGAGCAGATTGGGATGATCATCTTGGACTCGGAACATAAATTATAAGTTCTCCGCAAAGAGCCCAACTGGTCTAAAACCAAAATCAACTGTCGTTCTGTTTTAGTGACATCCATGCATACTTTGTCAGGCTTGCATCAGCAAACTCCAAGCCACCAAGGTGCGGGGCCCACACCTCACTGGCTGCAGCTTTAATTGAGCTCATCTTCCATCAATGAGTTTTCAAACACACATTTTAAACATATAACCCAGATTTTCCTATCGATACACGTTTCTTTATACAAGTCCAAATCTTTCCTTCAACCAGATTTAGTGCGGTTTTCCTTGTGCCGATGTCATTCCCTAACGGCAACTGTTGGGGTGAAAAACCGCCAGAGGACCATAAACAGCTTTCTTTCTTCAGGATGTCCTCTTAGAAACACAAGTGTGTGTGTGTGTGTGTGTGTGTGTGTGTGTGTGTGTGTGTGTGTGTGTGTGTGTGTGTGTGTGTGTGTGTGTGTGTGTGTGTGTGTGTGTGTGTGTGTGTGTGTGTGTGTGTGTAGGTGTGAGCAGTTTGACATGAGAAGGTGTCTTAAAGGTGCATATTTTCTCAACAAGTTGCTACAATGTTCTGTATCACCATGACTAACACACGCATGAACACACACACACACACACACACACACATTCATCAACAACTCCAGAATCAGAATCCCAGTCAGATTCTGCCAGATGTTCCATAATCCAGCTGCAGAAAGCAGAGATGATGGTGTCTTTGCTGCTGCTGGTTGAATGTGGTGCTAGAAGCACAGATTCTGGGACTTATTGTTAGTTTAGTGAATTAAATGTGGCGATGTATTCACGGTGACACAACAAACTCCTGTCCAGGAAATCTGTGCAACAGAATAAGCAAGCTTATTAATAACTCATTTCACTTTGACGTCAAACAAACATACTATTATTATTATTTGTTGTTGTTGTTGTTAGAAAATTAAGCAAAAGGAAAAGTAGACTGATAAGCCCCATAATGTAAATTATTGTCAGCTGCATTGAAATGAATGTGGATATTTTGTCTAACTGTTTGTGACGTTTATAAAAGCTGCACACTCGGAGGTCTAGAAGCCGCTCGGCTCTTTCCTGTCCATTATGACAGGCTGTGTGAGAACACGTGTAATGACACTGCCAGGCTGTTTTCCTCTGCTATTATGTTGTCAATGGATCCACGAGGAATGTAGAAACAAATATCTCCCCACCGCCGTGCCACCAGCCCAGTCGACGGCATGTCGGAGCACATCACAGTCCAGGTTTCGCTTGTGTGATTTAGATTTAAAGCCTGGATGGGGGGGGGGGGGGGGGGGGGGGCTGACAAGCTGCTGCACTAATGTTTCACGAGAGCTGTTTGTCATACCTGAAACCTGCAGGTGAGTCATTAGGAGTCAAGTAGAGGCAGATGATGGAAGTGTGAGTGTGTGAGTGTGGGCAACATTTTAGCACAGAAAGAGAGGTTGTCTTTTTGTCAGTGAAGCTTTGATGCTCAGCGGTCTCCATGTTTGTGTTCTGTGTCGTACCCTTCTCAGGTGGTCGGCTGGACAGGGCGGAGAAGGTGAGGTACATGACGTAACAGCTGATGATGGAGGCCTGAAGGAGGCCAGAGCGAGGTTGCTCTGCAGAAACAAAGTTAAAATCATCACTGAAAACACAACCCGACTTCATTCAAATGGAAACATTTCCAGAGTGATGTGAAATATTTCAAACTGAAGCTAAATTCACATGTGATTTTGTTTCTCTGTGACTGACCCTGAGCGTTATCAGATACTAATGAGAGTTTAATGAGATAAATCGGGGAAGCGTGTTTGTTTTGATCCAAACATTTCCATCTTCATCTTCTCCTTGCTGCATCTTTTTATGTTGCAGTCAGAGTCAGGGGAAAAGGATTGTCTGCAGCATGAATATTATTATTACTATTATTATTATTATTATGTTATTATTATTATTATTATTGTTATTATTATTATTATTATTATATTATTATTGTTATTATTATTAGTAGTAGTAGTCGTAGTAGTAGTAGTAGTATTACTATTATTATTATTATTATTATTATTATATTATTATAGTTATTATTATTATTATTATTTTGTTATTATTATTATTGTTATTGTTATTGTTATTGTTATTGTTATTATTATTATTATTATTATTATTATTATTATTATTATTATTATTATTATTATTAATTGAATGCAGCTCACTCTGCTTGACGCATGGCGTGACGGCGATGAAGGACATGAGGCCACAGAGTCCCAGGTTGATCCACAGCAACACCTTGTTGAAGTGGCAGGCGATGGGGTGTGTGTAGTATTTGTACATGAAGGTGAAGGCCATGGTGGCTATGGTGTAGAAGAAGAGGGTGGCGCTCATCACAGCCAGGTACCAGCGCTTGTTTTCTGCTGCTCCGGTCAACCTGGGGGAGGTTATCATATTCAGTTATCATGTTTCCATTCCACATGCTGCCAGTGGTGGGGTACGCGCATGGTTGTCATCAGGACCCACACATGAACAAGGAACCAGCTGTTGTACAGCTGCCTGCTGTAATCAGTGTGAATGAAAGGGTTAAAGTAATTTAATAGGGAATGCAACATCTAGATTTAACTAAATGCATTAGCTGGACTATCAGGACGATGGTGAAATGCGTGCTGATTAGGGGCAGATGTAAATCCAAAAACTATCACTGAGTGGAGACAGCTGACTCAGTGAAAACAGAAACTTAAGTCTGAACTTAAAAAGGTGAATGGAACAAACGATGGAAGAAGCAGGTAGCAAATCTGCCTGTCTGAGCAGATGTGTCTGGAGTCAGAGCGATGATGGCAGCTGAATCCATCATCACCATCAGCCCAGAGGAGCAGGTCTGCAGATGTTGGTCAGGCTGCGTCAAACACATGTTTATGTCAGCTCGTTCTGCAGAGCGTTCCCTACTTCAGTCTAACTGAGCTTAGAATGAGGTGGAGTAAAAACAAAATCTGATGCTGCTCAAAGAAAAGTAAATGTTCACGAGCACAAAACAAAAACTCCTTTAGTTGATTTTTTTCTGTCTTGATTCAATAATTGACCATAAAACGTTATAATTTAGCTAAACAATCGTAGATTTGTTTAGACTATTTATCATTCCTGAGAGCTGTAAGAAATGAAAAGCCCAAAAGACAACCTCTAAACTCAGAGCGCTCTCGTTCTGCTCCATTAGGTGAGTATTCTGGTTTTAACATTTCTTCCAGATGTTGACCCTGATCTCATTAAACAGCTGTGAGCTCTAATGGTTGTGTTGTGTTTAAGTCCTTCAGGTGTGTTCAGACAGCTGAAGCTTTTCTCCCATTTAGTTGCTCCATTAGGCCGTCGTGCGCGTGGGAACAGTCGCTGACTTCTTTAAAGTCACATATTTACTGTATAAGAAAATTGTCGTACATTTACATAATGTTTACGTTGACCTCCTGACTCACCAGTTCTTGTTCCAAGTGTGTGCAAAAGCTGTGATGAGGATGAGCTGAATGAGGATGAAGGCAAATCCTCCCACCACTCCAACATAATGCCAAGCTGAGAGATAATACATTATTTCCCCACAGAAATGAAAAAGGAAACAGACGGGAGAAAATACATGAAAACAGTTGGTCATAAATCAGCTCTGACAACAGACTTAGATCATCACTAGTTGCTGTTCAAGTGAAAACTCTAGATATTTATGATTCCATGATTAATTCATCTGCTCCAGGACACTGCTGCCCTCTAGAGGCAGCGAGGCACAAGTGCAGGTGTGAAGCGTCTCACCGTGCAGGAATGACTCCGTTGGGATGAAGAAGGCGGCAGTGCACATCCCAAGCAGAGTGATGAGCTTCAAAAACCAGAAGCTGCAGAAAAACAGATAAAAACAACATGTGTGGGTATGAAATTTTTGCACAAAATGAAATATGTGTTGAAGTAAACACATAACATGCTTCACTGGAACCCTGACTTAAGAAATGATCAACATGTTCACAGTTTGAAGGGCTACAAAGTTAATTAGTATAAAAACTTCTGAAAATTTGAAGTTTCAGCTGCAGATTATAACTTTGTATGTTTTAGTTATGCAGAAACACTTCTACAGGAATAATACTGAAAGTGTTTCATCATCTGATTTCATGATCAGATGTTAGATCAAGAGTTGTTCCTATAGAGGACTTTAAGTGTGAATCCAAACGTGTGTCCCAGCAGGTCACCGGTCTCTCACTGACCTCCTCACTCAGACCACAGAGGTGAAACCTTCACCAGAGACTCAGAAGCCTCCTCGCCGAGGCACCAGTAAGACTCTTACTCTAAAGAGGAGCAGCGATGCAGTCTGTCCAATCCTAATCTGAGCTGCGTCACAGCTATAATCGACTGCTTGCAATGGAAAGTTCAGCAGCAAGGAGCTTTAAATAGACTCAGGCCAGCTTGCTCAGGTGAGCTGAGTGGGTTCTCCTCGTAGAAACGTAGAAAGTATTAAAAGAAAGGATCAGGACAGTGCTGCTGGATGCGTTCGTTATTCAAACAAATGGTATAAAATGTAGTTTTGAGGTAAGAAAATGTGTTTTTGTTTCTGTGACAAACACAAATGAAAAGGACTGATGAGAATGTTTGTCCCTGAGGATAGAGCAGGGTCTGACTGACCCGTTGTGGATGAGCGCTCTGTAGTCCTGACTGGACTTCACGTCGATGAGGAAGATCGCCATCATCAGGTAGAAGCAGGAGGTGCCGAAGCAGACCCTGTAGACGGCCGAGTAGCCCACCAGCATCTCACAGTGGCCTCCGCCGTGCGCCTGGTCGCACACCACATTAAAGAAAGGCACCTGTAACAAACACACCTGATTCCTTTACAACCACACCTGTGTTAAATGCTGAGAACTTTCTTTTCTTTTCTGATCTGGCTTTTGATTTAAATGTGATGGTGCAACATTTTGTTTACAATCATTTAAATAAAGGATCTTTATTGTTTCCAGACTTTTTAATGGTTTATCTAAAGGTTTTCTTTGGCCTTAAATTGCCATTATTTGATATGAATCATTCAGACATAAAAAAAAATCCCAAATTCAAGAGGATAACTCGCGCTGTGCCCAAGCATAAATGATCATTTGGTTATAGTATTATAAATATAATATTTAAGCTCCCAGTCACAAAGACGTGATTTGACCTTTTCCTTTGTTCAATCTGAACCCAGATAGAAGTTTGATGTCATGTGACTATCTCACCAATAAGTCATCTAAGTGAGGAAAGAGTGATGCAGGTCTCTGCAGCAATGAATCCAGGTAACTCACGTTTTCCCTGACGAGCTCAGAGACGGTGCGGGACAGCATGAGGCAGGAGACGGCGCAGCTCATGATGTGGAAGAGCGTGTACATGACCCGCGTGCTGGTGGACGATTTGACCGGAGGACAGAAGGCACAGCAGAGCGAGCAGGGAGCCGGTCCACAGCAGCAGCAAATCTGAGGGGCAGAAGGAGCGACGCATCATAATAGGCTCAGGGGAAACAGGGCAAGTCTGGGGTTCAATCTCGGGAGATGTTCGTGATGAAAAAGGTGGAAACAAATAGAAACGTTACCACAAACCCACCAGCATTCTCCTGTTCTGGCACTGACTGTCTAGTGTGGCAGTCTAACTGAAATCAAACTCTTACTCTGTTTACAAAGGGGCACATGTCATCATGTTGTATTATTGGAAGAGATCAGAAGTTTGTTGTTCTGATATTGTTTCGTCCACTGATTTTATATCACATGGAGGCTCTGACACAAGTCCGTGTGCATTATTTTAACAAACTAAATTTACTAACACTTGACTACAACTATCACTTGTATGTGAACATCCACACCATGACCATAACAGGTGATGATTACATTATTAAATCTAATCCCGGATCTTTTAGCTGCAGATCCGTCAAATGTGATGCATCAGAAATGAATGAAAACATCTGTGCTTCTGTTTTAGTCACAGCTGGATTATCCTCCACCTTGATGAACTCTCAGGTTAAAAAGAGTCCAAAGATAAACTGAACTCATTTAACCCACATCAAAGTGACTGGGGGGATGGGCGGTTAAAGATTAACTGATGAGTCAACATCTGATTCTGATGAGTCAGGGCTGTGGATGTATGCCCATCCTCACTGATCCTGAACTCAATCAGAGGAGCCAAAACTTCCAAATTCATCAGTCAGACACCTCAGGAGGCAGAAGATCTGTCTGGTTCATCCAGGTCACCACACGATGGTTACGAGTTATTATTATTGTTTGAATGCTGTTAAGCATTCAAACAATTGTTTTCCTGTTTTTCTTTATTAAACTATTGTTTTCCTGTTTTTCTTTATTGTTTGAATCCATCCAACCAACCAACCAACCAACCAACCAACCAGCTCTATACACTTAAAACTAGCAGCATAGCTGACACTTTAACACTAGTCAGAAGGCAGGAACCGCCCCCTCCTCCTTCGTTGCTCTCTCATTGGCTGAGAGTTTTCAATCGTCTTCTGCCTAAAAGGAAATGTGCACCCACACATATGGTACATCATTTCAACCTGCTTGGTCCCAGGAGTCTTGTATTAACTTGATATTGTGTTCTGCATTACCATGGCAACATGCTTAGCAACAACATTTAACAACATTTTAGACACAACTGTATCAACATACTTTAATATAGAAATGTTATTCAAAATTTAAATGAGTCATGTGTTATTGTACATAGCTTTATTAAAGCAGACTCCTGTCATCTGTTACCATGGCAACACAAGGAACTACAAATCACTTTAACCAAGTCTCATAGGAATGAATATTAAAAAGCTGAATATTGAGCCAATAACAGACTCCTGTTGTTGATCTTTTTGAACTGTCTGTACTTAAAACTAGAAACACGTTCAATGTGATTGACCGTCAGAAGGTGGGAAAGTGCCCCGCTCCCTCCCAGCTCCCTGATTGGTTGAGAGAGGTCAATCGTCTTCTGGCTAAATGGAATTACACACCCACGCATGTGAGACATCAAATCGATCGGCTTGGCCTAAGGAATCCATCCATCTACATATAAATCCATACATGCTTCTATCCATCCATCCATCCACCCATCCAATAAACCATCTAACACCCATCCAACAATCCATCCATCATTTCATTCATCCATCCCATATCAAATCTGAACATATGTTAATCTATCAGTTTCAGATATCAGCAAATATTTCTAAATCCACAGTTCAGCCAATTGTAAAAATGTACCCGTTAAACTATTCTCATTCAAATGCCAGCTGTTTAACATTTTAAATTTCAAGTTTTTAATTAATGTTGAAAGATTAAAGTTTTCTGCTGTTTAGCATTTTTTATCCATTCTTCACCTATATTCTGAGCTTTATTACACTTGTTGGTGATTTTTGCTTCTAAATCTTTAAATACATTCAGCTCATTTTGACAGTTTAGCTTAGTTTCAGCTTACAGTTTCAGCTATCCAGCATTCAAACAGCATTTGTGCAATAAATGCAATTTTTCTAGTTAATATTATTATTCAGCATGAGCATGTTCTCATCTGGAGGATGATACAGAGATTACTCAACACCATGTCACTGAAGACAAACAAATAAATCTATTGTCACGAATGAGTTAGAAGTCTTCTTTAGAGTGTTCTTTTTTGCTTTGATGGTTATTTCTGTCATAATAATCTGCACTGTGGAAAATGGCGAACTAGGCAAGTCAAGCAGCTGCTTCTGAGCCCAGCAGATGTTGTTATCCTACTCAGAAGAGTCTAATCTAAACCAGAGTGAGTTTGGGTGAAGCCTACAACAGATGAACCTAAATAAAAATGTCACAAATCAGCACCAAACCTGGAATCCTGACGGCTGGAAACCTTGTTCCATTGTTGCAACCTCCACACACTAGATGTCACTTTGGTGTTTGTGTTCTATACTCATATGTTTCTCCCTGTTAAAAGTCAGTGACTTGATGCAACCTGCTGGGTTCCTTATATAGGAAAATTTTTACTGATTGGCTTAATGACCTGACCTGTATTGGAATGTTTAAATAAAATGGCCTGTATTTGATGTAGCACCTTCTAGATTCCTGGAACCCCCCAAGGTGCTTTACAACACAATAAGTCATTCACTCATTCACACACATTCACACCCTGGTGGGAATGAGCTACAATGTAGCCACAGCTGCCCTGGGGCGCACTGACGAGGCGAGACTGCCGAGCACTGGCGCCACCGGTCCTGCCGACCACCACAAGCAGGCAAGGGGGGGGTTAAGTGTCTTGCCCAAGGACACAATGACAGCGGCACACTGATCAGGGCTCGAACTTGCAACCTACAGGGTGATCACTTAACTCCTATGCCACCATCACCCTTTTACTTTGTGAAGAGCCTTGAGACAACTCTTGTTGTGATTTGGCGCAATATAAATAAACTGAATTGAATCTGCATTATCAGCATCAACATGTAATATCAGAAATTTGCCCTGTGAAGTAAACATACGCTGTCCTCACAGCATATAGCGATGTGTAGCTAGACACCTAACAAACGACTAAAACAAAAAGAAAAATCTTCACACAACGCTCGTTTTTCTTAAGTAAATGTTTCGTTGCCAGCTGTAATATACAGAATAAGAAAAAATACGTTCCTAGTTTATTCACACATCTTAGCATCACGCTTAGGGAGACTGAGATTCAGCTGCTGCTGGAGCCTAATGAAATATGATACTTTTACTTTTTCTGACTTAAAATTAAATGTTCTTTTTATGAGGGGAGTACACGACATACAGCATATAGGAATTTTAGAGTTGGACCATGTTGGTTTATTGGTTATCAGTAAAATATCCAACCTCAAGCATCCCTATAATCTATCATTAGTTTTAAAATGTCAACACCTGATTTTACAGTATTAGGGTTGGTTAAGAGCTTGTTGCACAGTGTGTCTGAACAATTTGAATTCTAATAAACACAAAACTTTTAATTTAAAGAGCAAGTCACCCCCTGCAAGAAACTAACTCCACTCCCAATTCATGTTTGAAAAATGCAACAAATGCTGTTGCCTAGCAGACCGAGAGGGCAGAGCCACTAACAAATACATGCAAACAGGCTCACAACAGCATTGTGACATCATAACGTACCAGCTAACGTCATTGTGTACCTCTCAGCCAATAGCGATGGCAGATTTAAATTCAAATGTGTTGCAGCGTTTTTACCTGACGACGGTGCAACACTGACAGTTTTAGGTAGAATATTTCAGTTTTAACTAAGATGCACTAAAGTGCCAAATTATTGACTGCATATGTTTACAGCACGATTAGACACTCGTTTATATAGTTTATCAGTTAAAAAAAAGGTTGATTTGGGGTGACTTGCTCTTTAAGTTATCATTTCTGAATTAAGATAGTTTTAGTAACCCCACAGAGAGGATTGATGAGAAACAATGATTAAAATTATTACTGAGGGTTCTCTGATAGAGTAGCTTTTTTTCCTCCATAAATCAAATCTTTTTTCTTTGTAAAAGTTTGTGTGAAACAAAAACTAGAAACTTTTGCTAAGCCACCTTACTAGCAGGTGTGTCTGCTGTGGCCTGGTTTAGGTTGCTCATACAGGTTTACAGCTCGCAGGGGAAGGCTGGGACAATAAGTCAGGGAGATTATCTTCCATAACAACAAAATAATCAGTCACATTTAAAAATAGGTAGATTATAGTGTGGGTCATAGAGTAGCAGAATCAAAATCTCTCGTGGTAACGTCCTCCCTTCCAGCTGCAGAGAGACTGCTGAGCTACAACCGATTCTGATCTGAGACCTACCAAACTTCTTCCATTTAAAACAGTATAGAGGATGTGATGCATTACATCTATTCATCTAGAATTGCTGTCTTCTTTTTATTTGGCAGACATTTTTAGCTTTAATTATTTCAGAGAATGTGGTTAGAATGCAGTCAATTAACCTGACATGCATGTTGTCAACCTGCGAGAGAAAATAGCAGTATCCAAAGAAAACACACGCCCACATGAGGAGAACATGCAAACTTCACTCAGATACGTTGCAGCTGAGTCAGACGTGCAACTTTCTCTCTCCAAGGCATCAGTGCTACCAACCGTGCCTCAATGCTGTAGTCCTGGCCTGGTAGAGCTGAGATGAAACAGCAGGTATTTACAGAGTTACACCACCAGGTGATTATAGCTGCCCAATAAATATAGGTAGCTAAATACCTCTAGGCCCCACCCCCACATGTAAACAAATAAAACATAAAAATGGACCTCATCTAATCTTTTCAGGTTTGGGCTCTTGGTGATTTGTCTACTTCATATCTTGCAGGTGCACATTCCTTTATGGGTTATTGTCATGCCCTGAGCTGCAATTAGGCTGTAAATAGTGATTTGATAATTAAATCAAACATTACGGCTGTGTGCAGGTGAGCAGGCAGGATTTTCTCATCCCAGAAGGGCAGACTCTGGCTCCCGAAGCAACATGGCTGCTTCTGTG